GTACGTTGTTTCCATGGTTACACTGCAAAGTAACAATTAATCCCAATTTTTCTTATGTTGTCGGTGTTGCAAGGTCCTAAGGATGTATATGTGCCAGTCATGAATTTTATTGTTTTTCCTCAAAATAGTAACATTAACCCAATCTTAGCAATGAATTTTGCATGGTTACACTGTGTTACCATGGCAACCATGAAAGTTATTTTTAGAATAATATTGCCAATACCTAATTACTTAAGGTCAAATATTTTTATCGCTTTTCTTCAATTGTTGATCGAGTTAGATCATGTAACATCTACCTTTATTGAATATTGAGCGTTTTTCAGCATTTTTCAGCATCTAAAATGTATTCCAAATGTACCCATGGTTACCACTTACTTAGAGATAAATTCTAAATAGTTTCTTTATAGCATAAGTTGCAACAAGGTGTCATGTTTTTGTGAGAATAGTTTGTTTGTTTTTCTTAGTCTTTATTGAGGCTTAATAAAGATTCAAAGTGGCTGAAAATCTCAATTTTTTCAACTTTTTTGGCTGTTACCATGGCAACCAAGACACATAGCAACGAAATTTTATTTGATATATGTTTCTAGTGTTAAGTTGTAATAATGGGCAAAGTTTCATCAAAATCTGTGACCATGTGTGGCAAAGAAGTTTAAGTGGTTACAGAGAATCGCTATTAAAACGTTATTTAAATTGGAAAAGTGGGTTTCTTGTATTAATTTTATAGACAGTTTGTGCTCAGCGCACAATGAGAATAATTCATGCTTCGACGGGGCATTTAAAAGGCTTTGCATTTATTGTAGCAATTTTAAGACGAACACGCTTCGTAAAAGGAATATGTCCGCCATATTCGATTATTCACTCGCTATATCTGAGGGCCCCTATATAAAGCCGTTCACATAGTCACCTGTCAGTGTAATCAGTCGTCACCGGTGTAGACGGACGCATGCTACACAGCACTAGGTAGCGACAAAAATAACTGTGTACTTCTTCTAATGCAGAAGAGTAAGATACCGAAGAAACTTACGACAGTTGCACAAGTCAGTGCAGTGTTGCAAACAAACACAAATACCGCTAACTGCAATAAAATGTAAACAAAGGTAATGTAAGATAACTAGTACGAACACGTGTCGCCATTCCACGCCGGTACCCGTGACAAAGCAGTCAGGTGTAACGAATGCGAAGATGCTGACATCATAGATTAGTATAATCGAACATGGCGTATGCCTATTTAGTTGTGTTCAGCTTTAAGAGTCATGATGAAGAAAAGGTTTAAATGTAAGGACGGTTTGTGACAGTATATAGACAATAGGCTTTTGATACAATGAGTGGTTATTCACGTGAAAAAAAACGTGAAATGCATGAATAAGAAAAAAGGGGAATTTGACAAATACAAAATTCTGCATTAAAATTTCTATTTTACAACTACACTCAAACACTTCAAAATGTAAATGGCATAAATACGTTACAATAGTACCTATAAATAATTGTAAATAAAGGAAATGTATGAAATTAATAATATTAAACAAATAACCAAGGGAATATCTCCTTAAATAATCAAAGAAAGTCCAGGGATGGTATAGGTCGGTTTGCGGGGGATAGCACTTTATTATGTCCTTATATCATATAAAACAAATAATCTTACACTCTATTGGCCGACTCAGATCAGATGAGAGGGGGCTGTGAGGGGGGGGGGGGCTCATCTGAGAAGGCTGCTACCTTCCTCTTCTTCCCGGTAACCAGGGTGTAATCACCGTCCGCCTCTTCTGTCATCTCGGTATCACCCCAATCGGTAGGAGTCACCTCAGTGTCCCCCTGAACGAGACTTGGGTCCCGTTCAAAAGTTCTTCCACCAGTGAGTCATCCCCCGAGTCCCCCTCCAAGGAGAGACTCCCGTGGTCCTCCTGTACTGCTTGTGAGGGGTCAACCGTTGTTGACCCCTCCTCGGGAACAACCGCTTTCCCCTATCTGACTGGCGGAGTCTGAGGGTTCCTCCTGGGGCTTGCTAACAGCCCCTTCATCTTGGGGACATTGTTGTTCTCCTTCAACAGGTTTACCGACAACCTGCAATTCCCCCACGATCTTCTGGGCCTTGCCAACAGGCCAAGGCTGTCTGGGCTTCCCAACAGCCCCCTTTGTCTGCTCAGGTTTGCTAACAACCTGAGACTGGACCGTCGTAGCATAGCTTCGCATGACCACAATTAAAGCGCTCGTGAGATCGACCCTGAACAACCTACAAGCATTTATGCCCATACATTGATGTAAGATATGGGAGGTGTTCCTGGTCTCCCTCCTGCATGGTGAAGATGACACTTCGCATTCCTGTAAGGAGGTTGCCGTCCTTCAGAAATTCTAGCTTACACTGTACCAACTTCTTCGTACTTCTCCAAAACTTTTGTGACATCTTCGTTCGACACCCGGAGAGCCCTTATCCTGCCACACGCCTCCAGCCGTACCTTCAGCTAACGTAACATCCTTCTTCGAGACTCGCTGCATCAGCTTCTAATATAACGCTAAAGGAAAAATCTTGAAAAGACGTGGAGACTTTTGAATAACCAACAGAAGGCGGAAACATGAACTTCTGTAACCTTATACCTATATTTTTCATAGTTTTTTTTAAATCGTTATTATATTTGACCTTAACATTTGCATTCACTTTTTTAAAACTCTAACAAATTGAAAAGGTTCTACAGTAACTAGTGTCTTGTTTCGAACAATTTTAAAACTACAGTAATGCATCATGTACCAAATGAAGAATTTTTATTATTATTACATTTTTTCTCCTAGTAAAAAATATTTAAAAGAAAGATAACTCTTGTTGATGGCTTCATCTTTTTACAGGCACAAGTAATTTTCAATATGATATTCTGACTCTAAAAAGCAGCGCAGTTCGGTGTTAGTCAAAGTCATGAAAATCTACCAGAATCTCTGATAAATTGTTCTACTTTTGGAAAAATATTTTGGTTTAAATCAGCATTTTGTGATTCGTCTCTCCTCATCAGAAGGTCAGATACTCAATTATATTTTAACTGGGTAAAATTTAAAAAAAGGTTTATGAAAGATTTCTCCCTGATATGATGATATTTGAACAATTTTGAACATGAACAAATAATATTTCCTCTAAAGAGGTCAAAATTCAAAATTGTTGTGTATTAGTTTAGTGTGTTTGATATCTAGTCTGTACTCATGAAAAAATAAGGAGGATAAGGAGGGGAGGGGTTAAGTTTGTTTTCTGTATAACGTTTTTAAAACTACTAAATGATGTACATTGTACTGTATGAGGAATAAAAGATTTCTTAAATAATTCGAGCCTACATTCAGGAATAGTGTAGTCCTCCCGATTGCAAGTATAATACTTTGAATCTAAACTCCCTGTTGAAGTGAAAAAATGTTGTTTTTCTTTTCTTTATTTTTTAGATAGTCGGATACTAAATTGTGATGTACTTTACATAAAGTATTTAGTTGTCTGTATGGGGTTTCACTTGGTTTTTGGGGCATCCAGATGTGATTTTATCAGATATTAATTTGGCAAATGAAAGTGAAATTTGATTCAGGTGGCTTAATGAGCTTCTTGTATTTTAAATGAGCTATTATAAATCTGAACTGTGTAACTTTTACTGACAGATCTATCAACCCCCTCTTTTTCCGAATTCTTCTTAGATATCAAGAAGGAAAAAATCCTACATTTTGTTCACCTGTTTCATAAACTTTTTCCCCCTTTTCTTTGATGAAAAAAAGTTTTACCAGGAAGCGGGAAATTTTTATGTAGATTGGTTTTCTGTACCCTACATATTTACTAGGTATATATGATATAGTTTTATACAATTTTTTAGGGTACATGTATGTTGATATCTATCCTTATAGACATTTAAAAGGTTAATGTTCAACCGGATTTATTTTATTATTTTTCAGAGAAGGGATCGGTCAAGCAATAACACTTAGTTCTTTGTTTGCTGACACAGCTGATTAAAAATTTTCTGTGTCGGTATAGACCACTAACAACAAAGTACATTGACAGGAATACATTTCTATACAAACAAAGAAAAAACTTCCCTGACTAAGACTGAAATTTTGTTTGAAAACTTTCATTCTATCAGCATGTTGAGCCTCATTTCAAAAGTACATGTAATCAACGAATAAACTAATTTTTTTGCCATTTTATTTCTACTTGTATTTATACATCTGTATATATTGAGGGTAATCGTGTTCAAAAACCTAGACTTGTAATTTAAGTTTGTAAATCCAAACTTTCATAGTCAACATGTGTAAGTAGGTAATTCCAACATCCTACCATGTAGTTCCTAACATACAACTGTGTTGCCTTTGAGTTTATACTATGAATGTGTGTATTTTGCTTGTTGTAAATTTTGTTTTTCGGTAAATATATTGCCGCTCTCTGAATAAAACATAAAGACAATTCACAAGTTTACAAATGTAAAGTCTACAACTTTGTCGAATTTTGATAATGAGAAACTATGGAGGGGCATCAGTGTCAAAATTCTTTTTAAATGTTTTTATTTTTTATTTTTATTTTAACTTCTTGTTTTCCAAATTGAATATTTTTATTTCTTATTTTTTATTTTAATTCTAACTTTTTTTGTTTATATTTTTCAATTTAAATTCTAGTTCTTAATTTTATTTTGACAATTCATAGTATAAACTCAAAGGCAACACAATTATATGTATGTTCAAAACTACATGCTAGGATGTCGGAATTACCTACTTACACTGATACGATTGGATAGTCTGGATTTTTGAACACGATTATCGGATTTACAAACTTACAAGGCTGGATTTTTGAACACGATTACCCTCCATATCTGTAGAGTGCATACATTTATTAACACTTACAGAATAAATGTTATGGACTAAACTGTGATAACTCTATCACCATGGAACGTGATGTCTGAATTCAAAAAAAATTTTATGGCTTGGCCTAAATCTTTTTACGAAGAATCACGTGTTTCTGTGTTAAGTGTTTAAATCAAATAAATACCATCCTAATATGATAAACCGAGACAGTACCAGAGAGAAGGACGTTATATTTGGTACGTGTACGTACAATCACAACATGCAGCTATCGATTTTCTTTCCTGTCCTTGGTATACAGTTTGTGGTTTGTCTTTCTCGTCGTTTGAAGGTGGATCCTGTAAAATTTAAAGGTAAAAATCTTAATGCAGGCTCCTTTTTACAAAATATGCATTAAAGCCGCTGTAAGGCTCAGATGAAATATTTGTTTGCTACTACGGCCCGAACAAAGTATTTTATTGCAAAGCCCGAGGAGAACACTTTTTTTTCTTATATTGTGTTGTGTAGTTTAAAATGATACTTATCGAATATACTTTATGGATTTTAAAATCACACAGGTATTGCCTTTTAGATATACCCAAAGATCTAGCTAGTACGAAGTGAGTCGCAAACAGGAAGCCACATTTTTAAGCCCAATACTCAATAATAAATAACATACATCTTACTCGTAGGCCTGTGAGTTATTATTTTTTTTTTTACAGTGTTAAGATATCGACGGACAAAAAATGACTTCATTTTTAGGCCCTATAATGTGACATAAATTTATACAGGATATTTTTTATTGAAATATTTGAGGAATGTTTTTGCTGGTATTTAAACTTCAACAGGAAACTTGCAAGATTTTGTGCTTAAGAAGAATATTAAGCTTGTATATATTATATATACACCTATTTACTGGCTATGAGGACAATAGTAAGTTTATCGTTCCCCAAGTCAGCAACTATTTCCCGAGGCGCAGCCGAGGGAAATAGTTGCTGTCGAGGGGGACGATAAACTTGCTATAGTCCGAATAATCAGTAAATAGGTGTATTATTATACCGAAGCAGTCTTTACTCGTGTTACGTCACAATCTGGATAAAACCAGAAGAGTTCCGAGATGAAAAGTGAGGGAAACAGAATGCTGCCGGTGAATAGTTTAATGACTATTTCACCATGGGCAAATAGCACAAAAACTATTCCACGGTAGGGGCTGTTAGGAAAAAATAGCATGTTTATTCGTCATATTTTTATATAGAAAAAATTCACAGAGGTATAATAAACATGTATATGTGCTCTTGTTGTATATGTAAATAAATTAAACCTAAACATAAAATACTTTCATCTCTCAATGCCATGTTGTGAAGACTTGAGAGTTGAAATAGAGCATGTTGTGGTATTAAAACAAATTACTGTATTCAAGTGTTGCTTTCTTTGATATTTGTACTTTTATCATATATATAGCGGTCACTTTTATCTGTCTGCATTATTGAGGAATAAGGGCGAGACCCCTTTACTCTAGCTGCAGAACTGTAGCTGAAAAAAGACAAACGGAGGCAGTTCAAGTTTTTCAGACCAGTCATGAGCTACAGATCTGAAGCTACATCTACCTCTCCCCGAAAAGTTTACAAAATCAAATAAAATTTATCTATTTAATTGATAAGACAATGTATGTTTTATTTACTTGATTATTGTGTAATATTAGATTTACCCAGAAAAAGCACACTCGGTTTCGCCCCCTGGACCCGCATTAAGAGCAAGTTACGTCCTTTGAGTTTACAATAAAAAGGAATACAACCTTAGAATTTTTGTTCTCAATAAGAAAAAAAGACACTTTTTAGCTCGAAGAAAAGAGGGGGTCATCAGAACTCGCCCTCAGGACTAAGACACCTCCCCGACCATCTTACTCAGGCTTCTAGATGTAAGCAAGGGGAGATCTGATAAAGTGATACTGTGTCTTTCTTTAGACTGTAGCCATGTACGAGCTCTGGGTCATCTGAAGAACAGCACATACACATTATGGATGAATGACACAACACCCTTCAAGGTATCAATATTAAGCAATTTAAAATCAATAAACTAAAAACTTTGTGCCTATGTTTCAATTTAAAGACTCATCATACCTCTGTTTACTGATCTAAAAAAAAAGAAGCTTATAACGCTTGTAATTTTTTTCAAAAGAAATTTAGATTAAATTGTGCACAATATAAGCATAGCCTTCGGGACAAAATTTGACAGAAATTACCTTTTTAAAATTTAATAATTCTATAAAGGATTTTGTCATTTATCCAAGCTAGAGTTATCTTTCTTATCAGAGGGTAAATAACCTTAAAATGAACACAAAAGTATACATGTACATGAAATACTATTCTCCTACCGTTATATATGTAGGTACGCTGTGAACATGGAACCTCTAACTCCTTCACCGTGATTCTTCGGAGGATGTATGGAACAGAAAATTTCTACCGTGGTTTCCATGACTATCAGTACGGGTTTGGTCATCCCCAGGGAGATTACTGGGCGGGGCTAAACCAAATCTACTACTTGACCAGTGCAGCTGGTAAGCCGAAGTCAATGTACTCTTAGATATATTACTGCAAAAGGAATGCGTTTTCAGATACTCTGTTACATGTATATATGCCTCATCACAACAATAAGTCAAAATTAGACAATAACATGAACCGTACATTTTGTTGGTTTTCCTAATTTATTTCTGTAAACGTTTATTTGCACATGTTCGCGCATAAACATGTAGCATCGACAAACTGCATTTTAGTTTTTAACGCTTTATATTTCGATTCTTGTAAAATATATATGAAGGGTTATTTTGTAACTATCAGAATTAACTACCAATAATTAATTAAGTGCAAACAAATGCTACAAGGTTTATGTTATGTTATAATGTGTTATCAACATAAAAGGAACATTCCACAAAAATATTAAAGTGTATAGTTGTCTTTTGTTGAAAATCCTTTATGACTGCTTTTAGCTCACACGAACCGAAGGTTCAAGATTACACGTCGTGGTCGTCAGATTGCCTGTCCGTCAGTTAATTTTTCACATTTTCGACCAAACTTTGGAAAAGGGGATTCAAGGGTCACACCCTTAAAGCTGACGTAAATATAGAAATGGCAGAAATAGGGTGGGTTTCTTTAAGTGAGAGCCTCGTGACAAGTTTTTGTTTTTGTTTTTGTTTTTTTTTCCAAAGAATGGCCTCGGGTAGAGTAGGGGTACAATGGTGGATCAAAGTTTTACATTAAAAAATATAAAAAAAAAAAATCTTTAAAAATCTTCTCAACAAGCATCAAGCACCATCAGTGGTGCATATTCAAATTATTCAAATCTTTGACATGGGGGTAGAATGGGGCCATAATAGGGGATCATAATTTTACATGATTCTATATAGGGAAAATTCTTTAAATACCTCTAAGATTCTCCTGTCCAGAATAGCATGCTAATGATTTGTCTTATATTAATATGCAAGTACGAGGGGTTATCAAAAAGTTCGTGGACTGATGCGTTAAAATTAATACTATGTAGTCTGTGCTTACAAAATCTATAAGAAACAAAGAACAACTTAAGTTTAAGAAATGTTGAAAATTTTAGCTTGATACGTTGATAATTTTCCAAATTATTCTAAAATAAAAAAAGACATTATATGATCACCCGGCGCTGTCGCCGTTTAGTTTCATGACGTCAGACAACGTCATTGTCTCTCAATGTCGGCTCTCTCTACTTCATACTCTTATCTTGATGAGATTACCTGGAGTTAAGTAAGGACTTAAGCCCGTCTTGTTTATATGATTTAATAATGTCATGAACAGCTGCTTTCAATGCATATAATATTGTAAATGGATCTATACAAAGGGAAAGATCCTCACTTGATTATGCCAGAATACTTAGCTTGTTGGAGTTCAATTTCTGTCACACATGATCAACGTCACTTTTCGAGGTGACTGACTTTTGACGCCCTGACTACAAATCGACATTAACTGTGCATCTTTCATCTCTCTGAATCTTTTTGGGCATTTAAAGACAAGTACTCTGGATGCATTTTATTTCTCTGTAGCCCGTTGTAATATTCTTTAGGTCTATACCAGTTTTTCCAGGTGCGAAACTTTATAGAATGCTGGAAAAAGAAACCCCTCCCCCTTTTTGACGTACGTCATTTTCAAGCCTTTATTTTTTGGACACTTCATATAAAATTTACAATAGAATTTCATAGAACGTACAGAATGGGATAAAAATTGCAAATTTTACAGAACAATTTTGTCCTACCACATGTCTGAAATAACGGTATATTTTGATGACAAGTGCTCATATCAAAAGAGTTTTTCTCAGTTACACTCAGTTAGAAAACGTCATATTTGAGGTTGCGCCGCCTTTGCTTACAAAAGCATTAAAAATTTATTTAAAAAATAAAACTTATGATTTATGATTTATTCTATAGATTATGCTAACATGTTTTAAAATCCATTGATGTACCTAAAGCGGTTTTAATTTTATGGCGCTAGTCTACGAACTTTTAGATAACCCCTCGCATTCCAAGGTAGTTCATATTCAAATCGTGGTCCCCGGGGATAGCTATAGAGTAGGACCACAATAATGGATCAGGGTTTCACATAGGAATATATAGGAAATAACTTTTAAAAGCAAGACCACACTAAATTATATAGATATACAAACATTCCTAAGTTGTGTGGATTTATTTTTTTTTCAATTATGGACCGTATTGGCCCCTGGGTTTAGGAAGGGCTACCGTTGGGGGTCAAAATTTACATAATACATGTATAAAGGAAACTAATTATTGAAAAATCTTCTATATATATAGAACAGCAAGGTCCTGTTAGTCATACATGTATTAAGAGTAAAGCACGTTGTGTGGATTCAAGATCGATTTCATCATAACCACTTTGAAATTAATTGGGGTTACAACAAGAAACAAAAGTAAAGAATGGAAAATACTAGTATCTTTTAAAAATCTTTTGAAGAGGAACAACAGGACCAACGTGATTCAGGTGAGCGTTGTGGCCCATGGGCCTCTTGTTATAAAAGGGACTCTTTTTATTGACAGTTTAGCAATCCAATAACTCGTAAGTAAAGTTTTGTTTTATTTTTTTTTTCAAGGTAACAACATCCTAACTATCAACATGCAGGACTGGTACGGTAACAATAGGAATGTTCGCTACAATCACTTCCGGGTCAATGCTGCGCCATATTTCCAGCTTTCCATCGGGTCTTTTCAAGGTCAAGTTCCAGATGACCTTTCATTTAACAATGGCATGTATTTTGCCACCTACGACAAACCCGATGCACATAGTTGCGCTGTCCATCAGAAAGGGGGATGGTGGTACAATTACTGTACCTTCGCCCTACCAACGGGGGTATACTACCACGGGGGACCCTACACGCCTTCTGGTGGATATTACGACGGTATTTACTGGAAAGATTGGCAAGGATACGGATATTCTCTGAAATATTTAGCCATGACTGTTTCAAATTCATAAGGTGAACGTAAAGGCGATGTATAATACTGCAGATTTTGCGTGCATAAAAGTACAATAACTGATGTAGATATTGTAAAGATGTCAACGAAATGCTAACAGAAGAAAACTTATGAAAACTTTTTGTTTGTTTGTTTTTTAGATTGTAGGAATTGTGAAGAATTTATCAAACTACGAATGTAAATTACGAACTTCTGAACCTCGAGTGGGAAATAAAAGTCACCATTTGGATAATTTTATGAAGTTATTGAACAATTTTATAGTGTTTGTAAACGTACTAACAAAAATTATTTTCAGTAAATTGGGTGTGAAGAGGAGGGAACATAGATTCTTATTGTCATTCGTTTATTGTAGTGTACATGTATACCAATAACAAACTCTAGAAAATGTCATATTTGAGGTTGCGGAAAGTTAATTAAGAATATAACTAGTAACACTAATCTAAAAATAATTATTAAGTACATGTACTAGCGATGTTGATTAACCCTCTCATTATGGTGGTCATCAAATACTAGTAATTACATCTACATGTAACTACATGTACTTGCCATTTGCATTTATTAGCATAATAATGAGAGTGTTATTGAATTTATATCAGTGTATTTTTGCACGAATATAAGATTTTCAATTACATAATTATGTTAATGCATTTTGAAACCGAATGAGTATCGTTATCCATGAATATAAATTCAAAAATTTGGGTTTTTAAAATTTTTTTTAGACAGGTCTGTTGTATCTCTATGTTTAGTTTATCAGTTGAGGCATATTTTTATGCTATAGTATGCGTGCATTAGCATAGATCATAAGGGCTTTGCAACTAGAAGTTGGTGTATGGGTACACTATAGTAATAAATTTGTCCGTCTGTCTGTCTTTCCGATCAACACTTTTTGTGACGCGACAACTGATTAGTAATCCCTAGTCCTGATTAAATTAGAATATCACTAAATGACTGCACCTATAGTCCTGATTAGAATATCACTAAATGGCTGCACCTAGTCCTGATTAAAATATCACTAAATGGCGTCACAAAGTCTTAATCAGAATATCACTAAATGGGTTGCACCTACATGTAGTCCCGATTTGAATATCAATAAATTGCTGCCCTTAGTCCTAATTAGAGTACCACTAAATTTGTTGTACACCTAATCCTGATTAGAATATCACTAAACGGCTGCACCTAGTCCTGATTAGAATATCACTAAAATGGTTACACCTAATCCTGATTAGAATATCACTAAACGGCTGCACCTAGTCCTAATTAGGACATTACTTAATAGCTGTATCTAGTCCTGATTAGATTATCACTAAATGGGATGCACCTTTTCTTGATCAGAATTTCACTAAATAGCTGTATCTAGTCCTGATTTGAATATCGCGAAATAAATTACATACTCTGATGAGAATATCATAAATGGGTTGTACCCTGCCCTGATTAAATACCGGTATCTCTAAATGGATTTTTCATGAATACGTAATTAAAAAGAAACATATCTTTTTAAAGTTATAAATGAAATGCCTAGCAAAATTTTTTTTTTCAAAAGGTCTGACAATATAGCTCCCATATTACAGATAATAACACATGTATTTATCTTTTGTACCCAGTGGTATAATGAATTAATGTTTAATTTTCTCCCTGAAATTTAATATTGATCACCTATTTTGTGAAAAAATTGTTTTTCCTTTCGTAATCATGAATAGGAGTATGCATAATTATATGCAATAAGACTTGGAAGGAAATTATTCGAGTTTGAGGCGGCAAAGCTCTGGAACTCTCTACTAAAAGAAGTTAGATTCTTCTCTTACAGTCACTTCCAAATTTTAATTTCAACATACATGTAGTGTTAAATTAAATTACTGCAGTATGAGCTCCTGCAATCTCCAGACTTTCCTGCCTCAATCTTAACTACTCTCCCCCCCCCCTCTCTCTCTCTTGTTGATGTTCAGTTGATCTTCACTAAATAATTGATTTCTCACCCTTAGTTTATTTCTCTGTCAGATCTATTCTTGATGACATGTTGTAAATTGATACAATATATTTGTATGTATTTTATTTTTTCTCTTTTATGTACATTATGTATGTTTTATGTGTTTTTATAATAAATTTAATGCTTAATATCATATTTGCTAGTCGGTTTAATAGCTTTTAAGCTAATGTTTCTGTTATGTGTATTGTAGCCAATCTCAAAATAAAAAATAATTTAATATTACTGTATGCAGTTCAAACATGCAGAGTACCTACATTTACCCGGTAAGTATGCCACTGTAACCAAATGCCCCAATCGACTTTTCATTCCAAGTATAGACCCCCTAAAATGACAGTTGTTTCTTCATTTACTTATCTTTGCTTGATATATTTTATTAAGAACAACGCACGAATACTTTCTGTATTTCCGATAAAAATCCCATCTACTTCATTCATTATATAATTAATCGTGCAAGCAAAGCATTCAAACTATGTATCGCCCCGCTGTGAGTCAAAAGTCAGGTCAACCGCATTCATAATTTGTATTGCATACTACGGGTGTTTTTTCTTTCTGTTGGTTGGTAATTTCGAAACAGTTATAACCAGGAAACAGAGTGATAAAGACCATATTGTAAAGATGTTAACTTCCTTTATTTTTTTATTAACAGTAGTAATAGACGATTATCAATTTTTTTTTTTTTTTACTAGGATAAAACATTTGCTTTTTCCTAAACAAATTGCTTTAAAAATGCGCCATGGAACAGTCAGGATGAAAATATTTTACGTGAAATATTTCCTGTGTTAAAGAAATCCAAACGTGACACAAAAATGACATAATTTTGTCGAAGGTCCCTCTGATGATTGGTTGATTGGTTTTTATGTTAATTAAGGGATTGAAACAAAATGCCACCCTCACATAAACTTTCTCAACACAAATCAGTTGAGATCTATATTTCGGCTAACAAGGTTTGTACCTTTTACTCTCTACATTAATATGATCAATTATTATGGTGACGAATGGGCTATTATTTTTTTCTGTTATTTCAGTAACTTTTCAGCATGCAGAGAAGAGTTTTGCTATGTATCTTTCTTGTCCAATTTGGAATGTGCCTCTCTCTTGGCAATGCTGCAGCCGTGAAGTTCAAAGGTATTATATTTAAAGTTAGAATATGACAGATTTTTTTTTTTAAATATAATTTTTATCAGTTAAATTTTGTTTAAACAAATTGTTAAACTGTTGTTAAATTGTTGAACTGTAACTGTGTGCTTGCTAGAGGTACGAACTTTCATAAACTTTCTAAATAGTAGAAAGAGATTGGTGCGGTCATGATAATTATTCAAAAAATAATTCGTATAATTATATATGTGTACATATAAATCAATGAACAGTTGAGTATCTGAAATCCGGACGCCAATAATCTGGACACTCCACCTTCAATTTGTATGGAACAAAATTAACAATTCTATATTTACCAATCATAAAATTTATACTTCTCAATAATGCCCAACGCCCCACAATTGTCGTTTACTAATTATTGAATTATTAGAAATTCAAAAAATGAGTACACGACAAGTGTCGTGTACTCATTATTTGAATTTCTAATAATTCAGTAATTAGTGAACGACACAATAAATGAAGGCGACAAGATAACCGAACTCAAATGTATATCCAAAACCTTGGAATTCATTTGTCCACAGTTTTCCTATTGATGATACATAGTTGACAGAACGGATATCCCCGATCTCTTAGCGGCTGTTTTATTTTACTCATATCATTGCAATTAAACATGTATATAATATTTAATTATTTTATTTCTTTTTCGAATATTTTGTTTTGTACCAGATTGTAACCATGTACGTGCAGCGGGGTTTGTTAAAAACCAGACATACACCGTGTGGATGAATGATACAACTTCTTTCAGGGTACTAATTCACTGTAGGAAAGCCGATGACCGTAATATAGTTTACGGTCATCAAAACATGTCGGCCGAGCTGATCGGTAAGAATTTTTCATTCAAGATATCAAATATTTGTTAGCATATCTTTGTAAATTCCGCTGAAAATTGAATGTACGCTAATGAAAACTTGCTATTGGTTATTGTAGCTTACTTGAACTTAAGAAAATAAAGCTGTAGTACGACCTCAAAGTTTTTGAGAATGATGACCGTAACAAAATATTAAGATGACCGTAATCGAGGTTTATTCCGTGAAGTGGGATGACCGTAAATTTATGATGACCGTAATATCAAACAGATTTGCGTCCAAATAAAGATTTGAAGTGTACACGTGCCAAACGTTTTTACGATCGGCAACGATTCTGTGTGCGATCATACAACTAAGAAAATATGATAAACATGCGATCGTGCAATTTGAAATTCATTAAATACCCTTAACAGTTTAATGAAATATAGTAAGAGATTACCGATTTACATGGGCTGAAAGTCTGTAGAAACAGAACAGGACACCGAACATTTTATTTTTAAGAAGGGGGGGGGGGATTTGACAGATTTTCTAATCTTCTGCTTGGATAATGTCCACATTTTAAGACAGCAAAATCAAAAATCCAGAACTCTTGCTTTTAATTGTCTATTGGCACTCGATTAAAATAAATCAGATACTAACAAAAAGTATTGTAAGGACCGAATTTTAGGATTATAGACAAACAGGTTTTATTGTCTATGGAATGGCTGTTCAATCACAGGAGTTGGCATACCTATAAATTTTACCGAAATTTTCAGTAAACAAAAAAAAAAAAAAAAAAAAAAAAAAAAAAAAAAAAAAACCACTTTACTACAAAAATAACAATTACAGGAGTTGGGATACCTATCAATTAAACTAAAATTACAAGTGTTATCATTATAGTATTTTTTATTTACCGAAAATTGTTATTATTATAGTATTTATATTTTTTTATTTATGGGATACGGAAAATTTTGGGGAAATGATAGGTACCTGTCCTTTATGACATATTTTATTGCTTTCTTACAAAAGTCGTCATGTTACAAATTTTACTTCAGAAATAAAATATGTCAGATAGGACATATGCCAACTCCTGTGGTTCAATAAATGATAGCTTACTCTATTAAACTCAATTCAATTCAAATCTGTTTTGCCTCTGAGTTGTACAACTCATCGGAATATCACAAAATGTGACCGGGGGGGGGGGGGTGTAGTGAGGCTGCTTCCTTCCACTTTTTTTTTTAAACATAACCTTTAACTGTAACAATTGAAATGTTCATTGAAAGGTTGGTTCCCCCCCCCCCTTTTTTTTTTGCAGTATAGTCAAATCGTGATACTCGGGTTCTTTGTGAATAAAATTTGATTGTGAAAGAAGTTGAAACCACCCCTCCCTTCCAACACACACACATTCAATATAGGATTTTTCGAGTTTGGACAATTTTCCTTTTTAAATTTGCTTGTCAAATTTTCTAAGGTAATTTGACATTCCCCCCCCCCCCCCTTAAAAAACGATACTACGTGCCTGAAAATGAATTCTATTCTGTTGAAATATATTATATGACATATTATAACTGCTATAACTTTGAGGTAAAATTTTGCGAGCCCCCCAGTTCATTTCCGTAGTATCTCCTTGATTAACATAGTTAAGTTTAATGTCTGATATTTATGTAGGTCAGTTTTAATGGTTAAAAACGATATATCACAATGACTGACTGCCTTATTTGAATGTAATAATATATTATACATCGAAATAACACTTCCTAAACAGAATTTACTCTGATTTGTGTGTGTGTGTGGGGGGGGGGGGGGGGTCATGCGTTTAATTTACGATCGATATTTCCCAGTTATACCATTGCTTAATAAACGATACATGTTGACGATCGCCTCGCAGTTGTAAAAATTTCCAATTAAAAGTTGTTTTGATGCTAATGTATACAGTTTTAATTTTAAATGTTTAGTTTATACCTCTAAGAATTACCTTCAATGTTGATAGATGATAACAATCTAAACTATCTCAAAGCATGGAAATTTGATGTTTGGAGCATTGTCGATTTGATCCGTAACATTTGCACAGAAATTATTTTACAAATTTACTCTAGATGAATCCTAAACTGTAGATATTTGCCCAAATCAAATCTTTTCTAGTATTATTCACGGCTGGTTACAAAACTGCTTTAACTTATTCCCTACAATACTTTCTTTCTCAATAATTTTATCAGTGTTGCCGATCGCATCAGAGTTGTTAACAGGGGTGTTATAGAACATGTAGAATTAATGTTAAATAAGATATTAAACATCTAACATGATTTTGTACAAAGATTACGGTCATCTATATAACTGTTTTACGGTCATCATCTTCTCGCTGGAATGTGTTTGTTACGGTCATCATACTGCAAAATTTCGGAGGCCTTTTATCATTTCATTTTCTTTTGTTTGGGTAAACAACAACTACTGATGTGGAGATAATACCGATGTTCGTTTAACCATTATCTTAAATTATTCAGTTTTATTGAATAATGTTTATAATCGTCGTCGAAAATTTTCAACCGATCGTCTCAACCGACATGTTTTGATGACCGTAAACTATATTACGGTCATCGGCTTTCCTACAGTGTAATTAGTACAATTATTTTAGGGAAGACTTTTTATATAATTTAAAATAGTGATATGGCATAATGTTTCTGTTATTTCCCTTTGGTAATGATTATCAAATAAGAATGCGTTTCCTGTCCATATTATCTCAGAAATATAATCTCTTCCGGTTGGAAAAAAGAGGGGAAACAACTCTGCTTAATCTCGATTTTTTAAGATTCATTAATTTTATTTATTTCCGCATGAAAAAAAAAAATCGACAAAATGATGAAATGCATCGGTCTGAAAATTTACGGGGATTGAAATCGGAGGAACACCCACCCCGGAGCTTGCTGGATATTTCTTCACAAAATATATCTACATTACTTACATGTATTTAGCATGTATGTCAAATGAAAAAGCGGGAAAAACCTGGGGAAGGGGTGTTCCTGTCTACAAGTACCTGTGATTGAAAATAATGTAATGATAACATAGAGCTATTTTAAGATTTCAATTATAACTATTTTAATTTTCTACTATAATATTATTGCAGTATAAAATTTGATAAATAAATAGGATCTTAATTTGTTCTAAAATAGATTCGTTGCGAACATGGAGTATCAAATCTCACGCAGTGATTCTCGTGAGATTTAACGGGACAGAAAATTTCAATCGTACCTGGCAGGACTACCAGAGAGGATTCGGTAATCCTGATTTTAACCACTGGCTGGGACTCGATAAGATTCACTACTTGACCAGGACAGGTAATAAAAGGGAGCCATGATTCAAAATCAACAAAGTCTTTATTATTAGTATTAAAGAAATAGCTTGATAAGGTTGTTAATTTCATTATTTGCATTTTTTTGGTAACACAGAACTGTTGACTTGTTTACTTCAAAGATGCATTATAGAAGGAATTAGAGATATGTATAATTATGTTTATGTGACGAATTTTAGGTTGTACATATTATCAACTACTTAATAGTTATTAATTAATGTTATTTATGATTAATTCGATCAAGACAAGATGAAGTAACAATTGCTTAATTGAAACAGCTACTGTATACAGGGTTATTTTTCGCTTGTGTTTTTTCCCCTTTTACACGATTATGCAACGTTCTAAATTCGCCCAGACAAAGTTTAATGAGAAAATACAGTCTCCTTAGTGTTTGTCCCGTCTTAAATTCGACCACTTGCAACGAGAGCGAAAGGAACGAAAATTAAAGTGAGCGAAAATTTCCCATAAAATACTTCCTCCCATATAATGCACAATTTAACCCACCTTTTAGGGGAAAACCTCTAATACTTGACTTTCAAACTGTTAAAATACTTTTTTCAGGTTATAACATATTTCCTGTCTATTTATTTGATTGGTATGCCGTTTCCAAAGTCGTCCGTTATTTTCATTTCAACGTATCCAGTTCACCAAACTTTCAACTCTCCATCAGGGACTATTTGGGCCAAGTTCCAGATGACCTCTTGTACAACAATGGAATGAACTTTGCTACGTATGACAAGAACGACTACAATGATTGTGCAAAGAAGCTGAGAGCAGGATGGTGGTACAATGACTGCACGTACGCCCTACCGACAGGTGTTTACTATCCGGGAGGAGACTACAGTCCTAAAGGAGGGTTCCATGGTGGAATGTTTTGGAAGGACTGGAGGGGATATGGATATTCCCTCAAAGCCATTAGCATGTTTCTATCAACTTCTGTGTAATTGACATTATGATAATGATATAAAATTGAAGATCTCACATTTACCCCAGTAAATTATGAGTCGGCTATGAATTTTACGATACTATAATTGGTGCCTCGACCAGGATATCTACATGACAATAATTTCCCTCATATCTTCAAGAAGACTGTTTTTGTTAATTTTTATGTTATTTTTTAAAAGAATTCATACATTTAAATAATAAAAAGCCTACGCGGGGAATGTATACATGTGTATTTTTTTTCCTGCAACAGTTGCATTGTTAATTCCCATACTAAAAAAACAAAGAAAGTTTTTTATTGTATTAATATATACGTGAATTCAAAATAAATCAATATTAATCTGAATAAAAACAACAAAATCATAGTATTACAGGAACGCATGCCAATCGCAACTTCTCGGGCCTTTCCGTCTAGCGGAAAAACAACCTCGAATGTATTACGTAGACGCCATTACAACCCCCTTTTCACAAACTTCGAAATAAATATGGGAAGACCTCTTATCTGTGGATTATAGAGTTTAACTTTATTGAATGTAAAGATGTTACCTGAAATATACTATAGAACATGTACATGTAGAAGGGGCTTTTAACTCCGTCTATCCTATACTTAAATAAATAGGAAGTTGTATAAAATTTTAACATCCGGTGGTGTTTGTTTTTCCGACCTCTTACGGAAAGACCCGAGATGATGCGATTGGAACGCATGCTTCACATGCAGTACTGATAGGTATTGTTTCAATAAAATTAAATATAAGGTCAAAGTTAGTTTGAAACTTGGTTTTATCCTATTATCCTAGAAATTGAAAGAATGTCATAGTCCAAGGTCACATGATGGCCTGAAGGTCTTGCACAATTTTAAATGCTTTAAAGTTTAAATATAATCCCTATCTGTAGGTCTAGAATTCAAAATATATGGCCAACAAGATTTTTAAACATTAAAAAAAACGTATGTCGAATTAACTATGTGTTTGGTGGCAAAATGGCTGTAATGTTTTCAAAAAATCTGAGGAGACATAAAACAGTCATATTAAGTCAAAGTTCAGATCAATGTCACAAAGTCAGTAAGCCTACTACGAAAAACTAAAGCCCGTCCATTAAAATTTACTTGGTTACTGTATGCAGTTCAAACTTGCAGTAGTACGTACATAAGTATGCCACTGAAACCAAGTGCCCCGATTGACTTTTCATATTCCCATCATAGACCCCTATTTTTTTTATTTTTTTTATTTTATTTTATTTTTTTTTTGCTTGATATATTTTATCAAAAACAACGCAAGCGAGTACTTTCCATATATTACATAAAAATCCCATCCATTTCATTTCATTAAATAATTAGTCATGCGAGCAAAGCATTTAAATCACGGATGAACTGTCCCGTTGTCAGTCACAAAACAAGATGTGTTTGTGAAAGACTGATGCCCCCGTATGGCAACTTATAGCGAAGGTTAAACTTTCTCAAATGCAAATCAATTATGTTGGTACCCAAAGTAAGGTCTTATCTCGAGGAATATACACGTATCTTTGAAATATGAAGCCCTAGCAGCATCCTTTAAATAGATATGGAAAAGGTTAAAGTTTTTCAAAAGTGTGTCAAACATCAAGGTCATGGTCAAAATTAATAGTACCCAAGGAAAGGCCTTCTCACAAGAAATACACATGTGAAATATGAAAGGCCTAGCATCAACCATTCAAAAGTTACGGCCAAGGCTAAACCTTTTCAAATTCCAAGGTCAAGGTCAAAAGGTAAAGGTTATTGGTATCTAAAGTAAGGTCTTGTCACAAGGATTATATATGTGAAGTTTACTATATGTGAAGGTTAATGTTGGGTGAAATTTTGCAAAACTTGGTCAAACTCCAAGATCAAAAGGTCAAATATGATGGTACATGTACCCAAAGACAGATCTTGTCACAAGGTATATACATGTGAAATATGAAAGCCATAGATCCAACCAATAAAAAATTGTGGACAAACAGACAGACAGACGAACAGGGCAAAATTTACACTATATGCCCCCGAATCTTCGATTACGGGGGCATAATTACATTCATAATTTGTATTGTATACTACGGTTGTGTTTTGTTCAAGGAACTGTTCTTTCGTTAGATCTTTCAAAGTCATAATAGCAATACCCGCACTACTACCGGGAACCAGGGTGATAAAGACCAATAGATGTAAAGATGTTGATTTCTTTTTTTTTTTAGAAGCATTAAGAAGACTGTTACATATAACCTTTTACTTTTTTAAAGAATAAAATGTTAGCTTTTTTTCTAACCATATTGCTTGAAGTGCACAATGGAACAGTCAGGATGAAAATATTTTACATGAAATATTTCCTGTTTAAAAGAAATCCAAACGCAACACAAAATTAACATGGTTTTGTCGAAGGTCCTTCTTCTGATTGGTTGATAAGTTTTTATATTAATTGACGGATTGCAAAAAATACCACCCCCAAACTAGTAGGAAAACTATATCTTCTAAAGATTCTCAACACAGATCAATTGAGAAGATCTAATTTTCTGCTTGCAAGGTTTGTATCATTATGAAGTACATTAATATGATCAGTGATGCTGGTTAATGCACAATTATTTTTTTTAAATTTTATTATTTCAGTAACCTTGCAGCATGCAGAGAAAGGTTTTGCTGTGTATCGTTCTTGTTCAATTTGGAACGTGGCTTTCTCTTGGCAATGCTGCAGCCGTGAAGTTCAAAGGTATAATATATACAAACACAGTTGAAATATGAAAGAAGTAATTTTTTAAAATAATTTTTTAAAAATTTAATTTTGTCTAAATAAAATGTTAAAATTATTATCTGCTTTTTGGCTGTACGGATTTTGATAACTGAATTGTAGAAAGAGATACGAGGAATCATGATAATTATTTTTAAAAATCCATATATCTATACAGGTACATGTATATACATGTAGTAGTAACTGTACAGTCAAGTCTCGGAAATAAGGACACCAATAATCCAAATTCTTCATCTTGCATTCGTTTAATTGGAATACAATTTACCTTTCTATCTACCAATCATTAAAAGTGCTTTAAAATAACCCAGACGCCTCACTGATTTACCTGGACGATTTGCTCGGAAGCACCAGCGTCTGGATAAACGATCTCGACTGTATACTATAAGCCTTCGAATTCATTCGGAACTTTGCTATTGATGACAGTCAGTTGACAAAACGGATATCCCTGCATGATCTCAAAGCAGCTGTTCTTTTTTTTTTTTTTACGGATGTATTCGCAATCCAACATTTACATATGTATACAATGTTTAATTATTTTATTTCTTTTTTCGAATATTTTGTTTCGTACCAGATTGTGACCATGTACGTGCAGCGGGGTTTGTCAAAAACCAGACATACACCGTGTGGATGAATGATACAACTTCCTTCAAGGTACTAATTAGTACAGTTTTTTTAGGGAAGACTTTTCTGTTAAAATATAGTAATAAGGCATAATGTTCTTCTGTTTCCCTTTGGTAATAGTTATTTAATTACGTTTCCTGTCCAAATTATCTAAAAAAAATATATAATATAGTATTTCCGGTAGAAAGAGAGAGAGAGAAGAAAACTTTCCCTACTCTTGATTTCTTAAAAATTTATTTCCACATGAAAAAAAGGGAAAAATGAGGAAATGAAATCAGGATTGAAATTAGTGTAATGATAACACAGAGCTACATGTAATTTTAAGATTTCAACTTCAATTTTTTTGTACATGTGTTTTTATTATCATAATATAATTGTATTTAAAAATTGATAATTAGATCATTGTGAAAAATTACTCCTCAGATTCGTTGCGAACATGGAATATCAACCTCGAATGCAGTGATTATGATGAGATTAAACGGGACAGAAAATTTCAATCGTTCCTGGCGGGATTATCAGAGGGGGTTTGGCAATCCTAAATTTAACCACTGGCTGGGGCTCGATAAGATTCACTACTTAACCAGTAGAGGTAAAACGGAAGAATTATAAAAAAAAAATTATAATTCATATTCAGCCTATATGTATTTTAATATCACTGATAAAAAGAAATATGTTAAAATGATTTTCAGTAAATATGCAATACACTGTAAGATAGAATTTTTACTGGTTTACTTTAAATATACAGTAGAAAGGGAATTAGACGAACCTAGATATGCCATGATCGGTTTTAAGTCATGCATGCCATTGACTTATTAAAGAATGATACTACATATATACGTGATTTAAAACTCGTGATTGAACATTCAATCATGCCAGAGAAGCAGATATCTTATAATTTGTCCCAATACAATGTATAAGTAGGGTAAAAAACCCATCTCTTGGTTTTCAAACTTTAAAATACATTTTTTCAGGTTATAACATACTAACTGTAAACATGCTTGATTGGTATGCCGTTTTAAAGTCCGTCCGCTATTTTCATTTCAACGTATCCAGTGCACCAAACTTTCAACTCTCCATCAGGGACTATCTGGGTCAAGTTCCAGATGACCTTTTGTACAACCATGGAATGAACTTCGCTACGTATGACAAGGGAGAATTCGACTACAATGATTGTGCACAGAAGCTGAGAGCGGGGTGGTGGTACAATGACTGCACGTACGCCCTACCAACAGGTGTTTACTATCCGGGAGGGGACTACTCGCCTAAAGGGGGGTTCTATGATGGAATGTTCTGGAAGGACTGGAGGGGATACGGATACTCACTAAAAGTCATGAGGATGGTTCTTTCTACTTCCGTGTAATTGAGATAATGATATAAAAATGAAGATCTCACATTTACCCACGCAGTAAATTATGAGTTGGTTATGAATTTAGCGTTACTATAATTGGTGCCTCGACCAGGATATCTACATGAACATTTTTCCATTATATCTTTAAGAAGACTGTTTTAGTTAGAATCTTTATATCTTTTAAAGAATTTGTACACTTAAAATAAATCAATGCATAAAAAAGTAAAAAGTTTAAAAAAAAAAAAACACTTTGTACATCAAGGTACCATTTAAAGATTCTCTTTGTATGGAATACTAAAACGTCCTGTACCTATACAGTATGAATAAAGTTTGCACTTTCCACTTGATCCATTTAGAATTTTGTCTATTGCTTTTTAATGCAGTACAAATGACTGTGGAAATGGTTGAATACTCCGAATTGATCGAAATATCTCACTTATAAAATTCTTCAAACAAACACGTGTATTCAAAACAAATCAATAATCTGAATAAATACAACAAGAAACATTGTATTTCATGGAACACATGCTTCACATACAGTATTGATATGTATGGTAGAGTGCGAAGTATATGGTCAGCATTTTACGTTTTGAACATTAAAAAATATATAAGTCAAAGTTACAAGGAGTGTTTGTTGGCTGTTATGTTTTTAAAAAATCTGAGAAGAAACAAAACACATATTAAAACTGAAAGAGAAAGCTAGAAAGTAGGTCAAAGTTCAGATCAATGTCACAAGGTCAGTAAGCCTATTACAAAAAACTAAAGCATGCCACAAAGCCAAATGTTATTGAAATTATAGAACAAACTCGTTTTTTGAACACAGGTCAATGACCAAGCTCAAAACATCAAGGTCTATAAGACCAGGCCCCACTATCATTAAGCAGTCTTGAACTTATTTAAGTCGCAATTGTTCAGTCATTCATAAAATGAATATTTGTTATAACCGACAAATGAAAATTACAGTAAATTTCAATGTGAAAGGAAACAATTTTTTCATAATTCTATAGCTAAAGTCTGAAACAACTGCTTCATGCTCCCAGGGCCAGTGCTTTTACGACATGGTACATGTAAAAGCCCGACCTTGTGCAAATCTAAGACTTTAGAATTTTTTTTCTTTTTTTTTTCGGGAATAATTCAATGACAAGTTCAAGGCTTGTATATATAAGCCCAATAATTCATGTAAGGTCTATAAACATGCTTAAATTACATGTACCCTAAAGTCCAGCCTTTAGTGGTTCAGGCCACAAGACCATTTGAGAATAGACTGAGGTCAAAGTTTAGATTTTGAATTCAAGAAACATGATTGAAAAGTTGAAGTCTGTAAACAGAAACAGTGAAAATTTGGCCTTATTTTCTTGATTATTTCAGAAGTTATGCAGATTCACTTAATTCTGTTATATGGTCTTGGGGCCAGAGGCCCATGGACAAAAATACTCTTTTTTGAAAGTATGTCAAAAGTTAATGTCGAAGATAATATTTTAAAAGTTTATCATTCACTAACAATATACCTGCTAAATATCAAAGCCACGATACATTTTCTCATTTTATTCATATCATGGTGTCTGGGGGTAGAATATGGCCACAATGGGGGCATCAAAAGCTTAAATGTGAATATATGGTAAAAATAAAATTTTCTCAGGAACGCGGGATCATTTGTTCATACAGTCATGTACATGTATCGTGGTTCCCAAGGCACTGGTGAGGCTACAATAGGGATAGAAATTTTACGTGATGAAAAAGGGAAAATATCCCCAAGAATCCTCTCAAGAACAAAGAAAAAATAAACATATATCAATTGATTTATTATAAAAAAAGCAAGCGCAGAAATAATGGCTTGAGACCAGTAAGGCTATACATTTGCAAGCATCTCAAGTAATCATTTAATGGAGATTCATATTTGTTCAAAGCATGACCAACGTGAAGCTAGAATTAGGATTTTAAAGATTGTATTAGAAAAGTTCAGGAGACACATCAGGTATGCAAACATTCTCAATATGTATGTCTATTCAAGTGTGTTCAAATCATGAACTGGATGCTGGGGTTAGAAACTACATTATAAATCTAGAAGTATAAAGGAAACATTCTGACTTCTTCTACAGAACAATTAGGCCACAATAGTTAAATTGATATTCAGCATTACCATATAGACCCCCAGAACATTGACCCCTTCGGAGCAGGGTTAGGCCACGGCATGGGCTCAAATTTTGCATTACCACGATGCAAGTAATCAAGTTTCAAAAATGCAGGCTGTACCAGTCGGACATGCCAACAGAAAGACAGAGTCTGCAGCACAGACACCGAGGAAGTGATCCATAAGTGTCGCTCTGCTTTGGGAGTGACACAAAAATTAGAATTAAATCATATCCACATGTATGGTTCTCTCTCTATCTTAAATCGAATTGGTTTTGCTTAGAACTGGATTTCACGAGTTTAACATACTTGTACTTTTCACGTTCACTTTTCGCGTTAACCATATGGTTTGCTTAGAACTGGCTTTCACCAGCTGAACATCTAGTACTTTTCACTTTGAAATTCCATTTTGCAATTATATTTCCCGTTTTTAATTAAAAGAAGGATCATTTTCTTTTAGTGTCTGTATGCTTTGTATTACATTGTTGAACATGGAAACAGACTTTTGTTGCACAATAATAGGAAAGGGAAAAATGTTTCCTTCTTCGAGTTAGAATAATTTCATACCTTTTCAACACGATTTTATTTAGTTTAATTAGTCAATTGAAGAGAAATGTCACCTTACCTGAGTTCAACTCTTTTAGGAAGAAAAAAGCTTTTAAAATCTTGTTCTAAATAGGTTAAGGTTACATAGGCAGTTTTAATTGCTTTTAGCATTTCAATGGTGGCGGGAATTGAAAGGGGGGAGGGGGCTTCTGTCCTTTGATTAAAGCAGTGTATACATTACACTGAGTATAGAAAGGTTAAAAAAAATAAATGTCAGGTCTACATTGTTGAAAATGTAACATTTGTCCATCATGAGACTTTTGTGAATGGCTATCGGTATGTTAAGCCTTTTTTGTGAATACCGGTATTTTTGGCGTTTTTGGTACATTCATTTTTAACCTCATTCTCTCTCAAAAAGAGAAGAAAAACAAGGAAAAATAGCAACAAAAGTCATATGGCTTGACCTGAAGTCTTTTCTGTGATTGGTTAATTGGTCTCGATATCAATTTAATACCATGAACACCATCCTTGTATTCAAAGTGGAACAGGACATTACACTTAGCTGCTAACACAAAAAAAAAACAAAGGTTTTCTAAAAAGGTTTGAATTCCGTATATATTGTATTTAGCTCCCATTACAAGAAATTAGCAATTTAATGTGTTTTTCTTTATTTTAGCTGAAGCGGAAGTGGACATCATGAAGTTCTCAGTTTTGCTATGTATCCTCGTCGTCCAGTTTGGAGCCGGTCTTTCTGTGTCAGCTGTGAAATTTAAAAGTATGAAATATCCAGAATATCACACTCCATATACATGTACCTGTTCAATACATAGGGCTCACGGCGGGTGTGACCGGTCAATAGGGGATGCTTTCTCCTCCTAGGCACCTGATCCCACCTCTGGTGTTTCCAGAAGTCCGTGTTTTATACCTTTTGTTTACCGGATTTATGAGACTGATCCCTGTTTGTTATCTTCATTTTTATTATAATTATTTTTTTTTTGATCTGTTGGTTCATTTTATATTTTCTTTGTCTGTTTTTTTTTTTTTTTTTAAATTTTTTTAAGGTTGTAACCATGTAAGAGAAGCGGGCTTCCTTAAAAACCAGACATACACTCTTAGGAAGAATGACACAACTTCCTTCAGGGTAATATACGATGTACATGATGATTAATTAATTCAATTAATACCAGGAAGGCTATAAATTTTTTTTTTTCAATTTTACATCACTTTAATAAATTTTCCTGCCATTTAATAATACAGAAGTATAAAAATTCGGGTAAAAATTACACAATAGATTCGTTGCGAGCATGGGTTGTCCTCCTCAAGCCCTGTGATTCTTTTGAGAGGAAACGGAACGGCAAGATTCAATCGTTCCTGGTCGGACTATCAGAGAGGATTTGGAGATAGTTTGGAATTATTGGGCAGGACTTGACAATATTCATTACTTAACTGCTACAGGTAAGTATAATGAATTGTTCCACTCGAAGGGACTTCGTAGGATTGGCAAAACATGAAATAAAAATATAAATATAATAGAAAAAAGCCCCCCCCCCCCCCAAAAAAAAAAACCCTACGTACTGGACATAATTTCCTGATCGTTTTTATGCCATTGCCAATATTTGAGATTCTTATACTTGTTACATATATATATATAAATATAAAAGCATTAAATAATTGATGTGTATGGTTCCTAAAAGTAGCATTTTTTCAGAAAAATTTTACAAAATGAAACTTGACAAACTTTAAAACTTTCAAGCAAAGCATTTCGAAAAAAACAACAACTTTATTTTACTTTGTATAACACAGTGCGTTCACTTTCATGAGCAAGGATTGACAAATCTGGTTTACATTCCAAAACAATTGTCCCCATATATGTAATGTGTCTATTAGTAATCCACGTCATAAAAAAGTAGTATATCTTGTTTCAGGATACAACATCTTAAATGTATTAATGTATGACTGGTCTAATGTTGCTAAATACATCGACTATTCCCAATTCAATGCGCCGAACTATGAGCTCTCCATACGAGGTTCTGTAGGTCAGGTCCCAGATGACCTCTTGTTCAACCATGGGATGAAGTTTGCTACGTATGACAAGAACGACTACAATGGTTGCGCAATTAGACTAAGAGTGGGGTGGTGGTACAATGACTGTACATACGCCCTACCCACCGGAGTTTATTATCCGGGAGGAAACTATACACCCACAGACGGGTTCTACGATGGAGTGTTTTGGAAGGACTGGAGGGGATACGGATACTCACTCAAATTTATTATAATGAGTTTATCTACTGTGTAAATGGGAGAGTTAAAGAACGATATGTTATATTTTTCCCACTGAAATGAATTTCCCATTGTAACTGGTGCCTCGACCAGGATATTTATGAAAATAATTTGTAACCATCGATAGAAGAAATGTATTTCAAGAGAATCTCAGATTTTCTTACGTAGAAAATAAAGGAAATTCAATAAAATAGCACCGATCTCCAAGAAAATTCAGCTTATTTTTCCTTTGTGGCCTTGATTGTGATGTCTTAGTCTGTCTGAAATTTAACAAGATATGAAAGGCATATTTCTCTCCTAAAAGAGCTTAATTTAAATACACATAAAGCTGATATACTGATTTGATTTTTTTTTAAAGATATATATGTTGCGTCTCGTATTTTTTTTAATGCACAATCTGATTTACAACGGTATTAATAAATAGACGAATTATCAATTTTTTCTGGTTTTCCATGGCTTTAACTAACATTTGAAGCTCAAGTGGGAATCTTGAGACATATACATACATTGCTCAGCACTTTCAGTTGAATTCTCACCTTTGTCTGTTTTTTTCCTATAATTTGTCAATATGATATAATACATAAATCGAAAAACTAAGAAAGTAAGTCATTCTTCAAACATTGGAAAACACAGGATACAGAAAGTGCACACGTCTCCATTGTCAAAGATGACATACAGGTATAAAAGGATCAGGTGAAGTAAGGGGCCAAAGGTCCCTAATACAAAAACTGGAAACATGCTTGAAATGGTGACAATTTATAAATGAAGAATTGTTTTAAACCATTTTTTATTTTGAGATAGGGTATACACAAACCGGGACCGCAGAAACCGGGTATACACAAACAGGGACCGCAGAAAGTCATTTCAGTGCGAGGGTGGGTGGGCCAATCTAACAGGAATTCCTTGACAAGCCGAAAAAAGGTCATCAGGCATTATTAATGAGGAGGCACAATGCTAAACTATAGACTTGTTTTCTATTGTATAGTTTATACTTGCAGAATGTTTTAATGGATGTAGGGCAGAGCTCCCTGGTTCCTATAGGACTAACAGAAGCTACATTATTGGTCAAAGATTAGAGCAGTTTCCCCAAATTACTCATGAATATTCGTTAAATTTTGAACGCAATGCTTTGAAAACCACAGATTTCAGTCTAACTCTGATGTTTAGACACAAATGTGTCTAACACTAATTTACTGCATAGTATGCTAAATGGGCAGATTTGTTAGCTTGTAATTCTTTTCCCTAAGAAATTAAGAGAATTCTGAAATTAAGTTGACATTCCTGTGATGTGTATGGTATCATTAAAATTCAATTATGAAAGAAGAAGCAATATATGTTATAAACTACATGTATTTTAGTACAGTGTATGTACATTCTAAAATTATCTTTGGCAATGTAGTAATGTGACCTATTGACCTATCTTGGTGCAAAGAACCAGGAAAAAGATTCCAGGTTCCTTTTTTTTTTTTAGAAAAAGAAATCAAGTCAATAAGAAATAGACGTTTAATGTATGTAGCTGTCCTGCAGCTAAACAGTGAAATACAGTTTATAAATATATTGCACAATACAACATGATTAAAGGCAAGTTCCATCACAATATGTCTGTACAAAAAGATTGAGACATGACAGAAATTACATGTATATGGAGATTGTAAAGCAAAAAGTGAAGACAAAAACTAAACAATTCATAAAATTGTAGATTAAAGAAAAGTATGAGTGATATGTCTGATTCATAATGCAATTCATTGGGCCAAGTTTCAAAAATTCTCCGTTTGCAGTTGCCTACCCAAAATGTTTAGAGTGGGTAGATATATATATTTTTTTCCTTCTTATATCAATTTTAGTTTCCAAGTTTTTCAAAGGAATTTTCATAGGGTAACTTAAATTTTTATTCACTTGCTGAGCAATTACTTAATAAGCTCCACTTAACTGAAGCCACTAATTGATTTTTAATATCCTGAAAACTTGAAATCTACCCCCCCCCCCCCCCCCCGAAAAAAATCTAAAAAATGACTGGAAAAAAGTTTATGCTGGTTGGATTTTTTAGTAAGTCGGTTAGCAACTGCAAGCAAACGATATTCTATTGTAGGCTTCAAAAGCAAAGCTGTTTCATTATAGTCCTAATTACAAGTAGAATTGCAAAGCATTCATATCAAAAATATTCAGTATTGCAAACAGAATGGGGTTACAAAATTGTGAAGTCAGAAATCTGAATGATACATTAAAGGATCAAATTGCAAAAAACAAAAAAAAAAAAAAGAACCATAAAGGAAAAAAAAGATAATTCTTATTTGTAAAGAAGTTGAACTGAGAAAATATATATCATTTTTGAATAAATTATACATGAATATATAAAAAGCTTAACTACCTTTCTCCCTGGGAAAATTATTTAATTCAAATTATTCACTGCAAGTACACCTGATAAAGAATAGGAATGTTATACATGTATTTCCAATTTTCCATATGATATGTACATTGTTTGTCACTTGACGATAATCAATATTATGCCTTTTAATTACACTGACCGACACTTACACATGTAAAATGTGAATATAAATAATCTCATATTTGGTAAACAGAGCATGTACACGTATTTAAACATGTAACATATTAGAATGAAACAACTGACAAAATTTAAGACAATTGATGATTATATTATAAACATAAATACAGGTACATTGTAGGAATAAAAGTTTTGCCATTCTTCTAAAATATAATGTGCAAATGAATTAATGGCAAAATGTATATAAACTTTAAGGCATATATATGAAAGCGAACACTTTGACCTGCAAAGTTGTGGTGTTTTTTGTTTGTTTGTTTGTTTTTAGAAAATATAAACCTTGGACTTTGTTTTTTTTTTTAAATCTTGAACTATCTACAATGAATCTGCACAAATGGTATCATTTGTGTTTAAATCAATGGTTACTATATATATCTAAAATATCATTCACAAGCCCTATTGTAGTTAACCTTCATAATCAAATAATATCTTGGCAGCTAACAAAGAATCAATCTCATTAAAAAAGACTGAAAATATAAAAATTTGTACACCATTTACATATAACTGTATTCGTAATACAGTATGACTTCTAATCGAATGACTAAAGAATGAACACTTTTTTTTTTTGAAAGATGTTATAAATTCTAATACAGCAACCTGAGCAGAAAAAAATTCTGATGAACCAGAAATGAACATTTAAAATGTAATGCCATTTGCAATCCCCTGTCTCTTAATTTACACTTTGTTTTGAACAGATCTCTCTGCTTTCCTAGCACCGCTCTTCAATTTCTGAAATCTGTCAGGATTTCGTCTAAAATACACAATAGTAGCTACCACAACCAAAGCCAAAACAATTCCAGCAACTGCGATACCAATGATGGGACCCAGGTTCTGGTGGGACCTGGCCACGTAGACACCACCTTGGTCCACCTGGAAGCTGGCGGTTCCTCCGTTAACTGAGGATGGGATCTTTGTCCAGCTGGCCATATCCTGGAATTTGGAGCGGTAAATTTCCACATTACTGGCATCAGGATCTACCTGCATCTGAATGGTAAAGGTGGCGCCATTCTGTGTCACCACAGTCTCTGGTCGGATGACAACAAAGTTACTGGCGTAGTCATCTCCAACCTGCAAATAAACATATTAACACTGAATTTGGTATTGTTCACGAAAAAGCAAAATTACTACAAATAAAAGCAAAATTAAAGCAACATTTTTTTTTTAATAAAAACTACATGTATATAAAAATTTCATTAAACATTCAATAAAATCTCATATGATTAGTACACTAGCAACACCATATGCTTTTATCATTACAGAGTATTTTATTTTGAATTGTTGTGTAAGAAGTTTACAGTGTAGTTTATCTCAATAAAACCAACTTAATGTGTGATATGAATTTTTTTTAATATGAACGGAGGGTATGGCTGGGTTACTCACTGGTTCACTCCTCAGTGACCCACTCCCTACTGCCTGTTCGGGGGACCACTCCTCCATTTGTAGGGTCTGTAGAGTGGCGAAAACACCTTGCCCGACCATCACCTTGGCTCTACTGTAAAAGTAAAGCCATAACATATAAATTTCACTCTTTATCATTCAAATAAAAACTCTACAAACTAAAAATTTAAAATGAAGATCCATTCCCTTATTACTTATATGTATTTTCAAAATAATGGAGCGGATGATATTTGTTGTACAGTCCAAATGCTTAAGAAACAAAAAAATATGAACCGATTTTCAACAAAATTTGAATCTTACTTATCAGCTAAAGCCAATGTTCCACCTCCCCAGCCAATGGCCTGGTTTCCTGTGAGGTAGGGTAAAACCGTGATCCTCCCCTTTTGATCTCGATTGGAGAAGTCATTGTTACGAGTACACATGTAGTGGTACGTCCCTTCCTGGGAAATCATACGGAGACCAAGATCAAAATAAGTACCCGCATCATCCAGTTGGGAGAGTTCACCTCCAAAATGTCCTATAAAACAGATATGTCAGTCTATGGTGCAATAATTCTCGTGCATTTTTTAAAAAAAAATCTACATACAAGTAATTTCAAGTTTTATAACAAATTCTGAAAAGTTTTCCTACATGACAAACTTGAAGAGAAAGTTTTATTGTTGTGCACAAAGCACACTGTGGTCATTTCTTAAGATTATATGCTTCAAAAACACATTTTCTGCATAGTGCAATTTATCCCTAAATACCTGGAGAATTAAATGCCAGGTGCAGCAGATCTTCTTGACTAAGACCAAGGAAAGATGAGTTGACAGCATGTGCTGGATAATTCACTCCATATTTTCCGTACACTGCCCCGGGGCCAAATCTGGTCAGACTGCCCTCATCATAGGTCGGATCTCCAAGCTGGACAATATTGTTCCTATCTGACCTGGCCTGTCCATTGCCGTCATTGTTTGGGTTGTTAGTATTGGAGCCTGTCCATCTGTACAAGTGAACAATGTCAATATCAAATACTGTAGAATTACTTTTTTCCCTGTGGGATTTATTTATGCTATGTATACGGTCACAAATATTCCATGGAAATTTGTTTCAATGTACTTCATGTGCATCTTAGACCTTCAAGAAATCATCATAATATTCTACCTGTGGATTGAACAGAAATTGTGGTTCCCATGGAAAAAGGTACATGTATGTTTACAGTATGTGCAAAGACACAAAATATACAAAATTCAATGCGGTTAAAGCTCCCAAACAATTTCTTGTCTATTCACTTAAATAGTGAAATAACAAACGACTATAGGTACTACAAAGATCATGTCATTTTATCCATATTTTGTAATACATGTATCTTGTTGAAATACCTCAGTGACAAGTTTGACTTTCTTTGTAGTAGAGTATGAGTTTGTTTTAATGTAAATACAAGTATGTACAAACGTGTTGTTTCAACTATCCATCTCCGTGTTTATTTATAGTATCCATATTTATTTACCCTAGAAGTGGAGGTACTTCATTTCCATGTTAATTCACTTTATATGTACAATACGTGTACTCTGAGGTTCCAATATGATTATGGTTAATGTAATATACATGTACATGTATGTTCAAATTTTCTGTCTTTGGGGGTTAACTCAGTGAATATGTATCTTAATTAAAGTTTTATAGATTTTCAGCTCTATGTAAACTCACTGTATATGTATGTAATTTGAGGTTCCCATCTCCAGGTTGTTGGGTACAAAGTCGTATTCTACAGATGGGTACACCTGTACAATGTTTCCTCTCTTCCCTCGTACATTGAGATTGGAGATTGTTCTTCCCACGGTACTGGCCGGGCGGGGGCGAATGGCAAAAGCAAAAGACCTGTAAAGTTTATATTCAATTATATGTATCTTTTCAAAATACTTGAAACCCAGGGTCAGATACTATAATTGCAAAACTTTGGGTTGGGTTTCAACATTTCAGAGATATATATCCTCTCAAAAACAAAACCAAGTTTCAGGAAAAAAACAAAAACTAATTTAAGAATAAAGTGATATATTTGGTTGAAGCTCTCCATCTTTTATCAAAATTATTGGTAGAACTATGTTTCAACATTCTCAAAAAATAAATTAATAAACTCTTAATCACCTGTCCTCAAATGTACGACCAAATTGTGCTGTGTTTACAGCAAGCTGGAGTTCAAAGTTCGCATCGTTGAAGACTTTAACTTCAGGGTTGTTTTCAAACAGGAAGCCCCTTTGGTTAGCCTCATTTTCAGACAATCCGACTTTGTCAGCCAACTGAGCATCCACATCTGTATCATACGTAGTGTTCCAGCCATTGTAGTCACCAGTGGAAATATTGTACCTGTATATGAAGAAATGACTCAGTAATGGAATCCTATGTACCATATACATGTATACTCGCATACAAGTTAATTTACTTATAAGTCGATTGCATTCCTTCAGCTTATTTGGAAGAATATTAAATCGACCTGCTTGTAAGTCAGCAGGATTATTTTTTTTTTGCCAAATCAGTTGTTGATTTCAGATAAATATTTTATGGTATTTAACTGACGTGTTTCAAAGTATTTTTCAGGATACAACATCAATATTTAAAATTTTATTGACAAAATTATTAACAACAATACATTTAAAACAAGAATAAAATCATCACAATGAAATAAAAAGATAACGAACAGTTACACACTTGCACTGCAATCTGTACACACTTGACAAGTACTAAAGGCATATAGAAACCTTAAAATTTCCTTTCCTGCTTTTTAAAATATTAAGAATTTATCTCGACTCTGTCAATTTTCATTGACATTATTTATGAAAATACTACATTAAGGACTAACTTATCAGTTGGACAGATTGTTTAAGACCAAAATTTATTTCCCAAAAATCTGACTTAAATGTGAGTATATATACATGGAAACAAGTAACAGTTACTATAAAGTCAGAACCAGACAATAAAGCTCCCCAATAAGGAAAGCAGATAATATAAAGCCTCTGTTATAGGGAAGTTGTATATTTTCCCCATCCCTCATATCAGATCAAAAAAGAAATTTGATTATAAAGAACTAAATTGAATAATTCTTAATCAAATGCATAATTCCTGTTCATCCCTACATAGCAATGTGTTAAAATTATGGTATTTATTCTTCAATTAATTTCATAAGCACCTTATTCTCATGGCACAATTCTCGTGAACAGTATTGGGCACAGTCCAGTTGAAGACCAGGGCGTGACCTCCGATCCCGTTACCTAGGTGATTGTCTCTAGAGAACTGGGTCTCACGGCAGTCTGGGGCCTCGATACCAAAGGCAGGGACCTCCTTCCACTCTGCCAATACACCATTGGGGTCGTTACTGGGGTATCTGTACACCTATTCATTATCAACTTCAGTTTAGTAATATCAGACATCAAAATTGAAGAATACCAACACTTCAAACATAGTTTGTTTATTTACCGGTATATAATCAGCTATTCAAGGAGATCACAAATTTTACAAAACAAATAAGAAGCAAACAATTCTGATTGTTAACTTTCTTCAATTTAAAGTTTCTTCTCTTTTTTTTTCAAGTTTGATAAAAATTTACTTTATTAATATTTGTATGAAATCATACACTAAATTTTTAAATGCCAAATTCAATGTCTTTTTACTAAATACTTATATTTAGGTATTTTTTTTAAAACTGTTAACTGACAAATACGAAAGTTCACTCAAGTTTTTACCCCTTCCCTCCCCTCCCCCTTCTTGCTAACTCTTTACTGTTCCCTAAAAAAAAAAAAATAATAAAAAATTTCTTCCATAAAAATTGCTAGAGTTATAACTGACCTCACAAGCCTCTTTAGTGTTGGGGAGGGTGATTCTGCCAAGGTTTTCTTGGAGAACCTCTGCTGGCATCACACAGCCGTACCGGGGTTTGACGTTGGCACTCTCAGCTTTGTAATAAGGACATCTGGTGGCATCATTAGTCAGAACAGCAATATCCTACAAGCACCACATATCAACATAAATATAACATTTTTTTTTTCAAACCAATTCCTCAATGGTAAGCAAGCTTAACCTCATACATGTATGTCTGCATGTATGCATAGTACTTAAAGTATTTTATAAATAATTTATATTAATTAAAATAAAAATATCTGAACAGTTTAATGTTTTACAAAGATTAATAATAGAAGTTTTTGTTCAATATTTTAAAAAGTCCTGTTCATCTTGCTTTATAACCTAACATTAATTTTGTAAAGAAAAACAGCTGACCATCCAAGGTGTGGGGCCCCAGTAAGGGTAATAATCCCGCTCCTCTGGGCACTCGTAACCATAGCGCTGACCATTGGGATTCTGTCGAGTGTTGACTGCCCTGTTTCTGTTATTCAGATTCTAAAATTTGAATTCAATAACCTTATTATATTACACTATAATCAACCTAATTATAAAACTTCACCTTTCATATTACATTGTAGTATGATATCAATTTCTGCAAATCTGGGTGATATATTTTTGTAATTTGTAATTTTAGAAAAAAAACCCCAAATTTTATCAAGAAATAAGTATCTGATTTTGTATGCTGCAATCACAAAAGCTGTTTGCAAATTTCTATCGAAATCATATTTGTATCTGAAATATATTTCATTTCTAAAGCTCAGCTGTTCAAGTTTGCGTGGGAGGCATTAATTACTACAATGTGTAACACCCACCTATTCAGATACATTTCTAATAGGCATTTTTTACAAACATTTAATTCACATGCAAGGTATGAAATTCTTTCCACTGACCACCATTTATAAGGAAATAAATTTCCTGCTTAATCACGACACGTTACAATAAAGATATCAGGAAATAATAAACCCTTTCAATATTGTAAAACAACCTAAGCTTTCCCTATGAAGTCTTATAAGGTTACAGGTAATTAATACCCCTCTCACCTGGTCTGCTATAAATAGCCCTTTGTTGCGTTGTCGTGACCGACAATTAAGGTAATATTCATAGTTCTCGTTCATGCCATATTCTTTATCTGTATTGCAGTTTCCCAGTCGACAATCATCTGGATTGGTGGGTATAGTACTGAAAAGTAGAAATTTCATATTAAGCACAGTGGTGTCCATCAAACAATCTTCATTACAATTTACATTTCAAAACATTTATTCAGTTATTTTTAGAATTTTTTATTCATGTGCTGGATTCTGAAAAGAAATCTGTCAGAATTTGTTTATTTATCAGAATTAATAATTAATTAAATTCTCTTAATTTTATATCAGGGAATGTTCTTTGACAGCATCAATGATTCATTTTGATAATTTTGCACAGAAATATTGTCAGTAAATCTTTGAATATTTTCAATACTATATATATTGTGACAAGATGATAACATTGTATGTACATTCATTAGATGAAAAAAAATTCATAAATTACTAAAACATGCAGACATATCTCTCCATGGAGTCAATCTCCCAAAGTAACATCTATATACAAATAGTTCTTGTAAATTTCTAATGTCTACGTGGAAAGAGCCACATTTTTTTTCATAGTACAGATAACATAATATCTAGTGCTTTATAGTCTTTGTCGTGGTTTACTTTTTTTTAATTACACAGATGTTAATTTAATTACTTTGTGGAGGCACCATCCCTGAGCTGGTCGTCACACATATACTGTAGAATTATCTCACAATGGCTGTTAGGGTTACTGCATGAATGCTGGTTTGTCCTGAAATAAATAAATATGTGCTATACATCAGATTATAAATATAAAGCAAAAAAAGGTTTAAAAAAAAAAAAACGAGAGAGAGAGATACAAAGTTTCCAATTCAATTGATTTTCAAATAATGTACGCAGGTGGGTTAAGAATCGCAATTTTCATCAATTGCTCACAAATTATGTTCAATATATAAGGATTTTTCTATCTGCAAAGTTGATCCCTCATAGTTAATACATAAAATTGATCCTACCCCCACTGTCATCCCTTTAACTCTCCTATATACAAGTACATACCACTCTTTTGGTCAATCCTGTATATCCTCACACTGATTTTAACCCTATTAAACCTTCTCAGCCATCCCTGTACCTGTACTCACCATTCTATCTGTAGGGTTGACCCCACGTAGTAGTAGAGTGACCCAACATTGTATCCCCCTCTATTGTTGTTCTGAGAGTCAAACATCCTGAAAAATCGACAGATTGTGTTATACATAAATTAAAATATATCTTTCATACAACTACAATGTTTCTTTATCATAAAATGATAAAAAGTTTTTAAAAAATCGGAAGTTTTATTTAAAAATAAAAGTTAAATATGCTTCTTTTGCTATTGAATAATTTTATTCACCACAATTTATACAGAAGTACTAAACTATTTCCTGTGATGTAAAATTCCTACAAATTAAGGATGTGCGGCATATTGCAAATCACCTGAGAATTACATTCATTGCCAGTACAAAACAATTGGAGTAATTAAGACACAGGTAATGATGGCCAGACAAAACCACAAAACTAGTAAACAAAACAGGTTTTACAGGAAAGGAAAATATTTCTGTTGTGTTTTTGTTTAATTTAATATGTCAAAAAGTAGACCATCTTGATCCTTAACCACTTATAAGTGACGTATGTGTTTCACTAGCTAGGATACAGACTTTCAATATCCCAACCAACAGTAGTAAATATTCTTGATTCACATGGCAACCTTAATACTTAAGATTAGCAAAATATAAAAAAAAACATTTCAATTCTTTAATTTGTGTGATGCATTTATAACGAGCCCTGCAATTTAGCTTTTCAATTATTATGATAAATTATGCAAGCATTAAAAATAACAACAATAGTGTGTATGCATGCAAATGAATTTCATTTTTTGCCAATATCTTTCTTTATGGAGGAGAATTAGGACCATTTTTTTTTGGTGGGATTTGCATATATATATATGTGTTAAGATAGACCAACTGGCACCGCATGGGGACTTTAATTTAAAATACTTTTCTGTTGTTTTTAAATTCTAAAATAAGCCTTAATTTTGTTTCCTTACCTTTTATTATTCTGGACATTTCTGTTTTCTTCATCCAACCTGTTGTTACCTCCCCTGCAAAAATAATTGTCAAACATAATTAATCTATTGAAGATTTACTTATTGTACATAATTGCCTAAAAAGGTGAAAGGCCATTCTTTAGGTACTAGATGATACAGTATGATACGTACTGTAAAAGCACGAATTTTAATTTACAGTATCATTGTTTGGTTATGTATGTATTTCATTTTGTGCAGTGACATAATTATACAGTGAAACCTGTCTAATCAGACAGGCAATGGAAGACAAATTTTGTGTCAGAATAGACAGACTGTCAGATTACACTGTGTAAAGAACATAGAAAACAGTAAAGTGGGAATGACAATATACAGGTCAGAATTCACAATGAAACGGATTGCACAGGTGTCAGATTAGACAGTTTTCACTGTATACACATGTATATGCGAATGATCAAGAGATTTTTTTTTTAAAAAAAGAAGAACTTCAAAAAAAAAAATATTTATTTATTTTGAAAAGGACTGACTCTTATTTCAAACAAAAAGACCCTCTACTTTGAGAGAGAATTTTTTTGCATTTTTAGAGTTTTTCAAATTTTTTTTTTTTAAATTTCTGATTAAAAAAAATTCACTTTGGATAGAAAAGTGAACTATCTATACTATCCTGGGTATTCCCTGAAAACAAATAGAACTTAATATTAAATACATGCTTCTTTTCATCATATAGCTATATGTTATATATGTTGTACATTCTGACATTCTTTCTTGCTCAGTGCTTTATCCTTTCAATTGCCAAACAGACAATGGATTCATAATAGATGGTTTTCCTATAACATATTTTTCCTTGGAGTTATTTCCCTTGGCTGCCATCTTGTAGGTCAAAGTAGTGAATTTCCCTCTTTGAGCAACCAATTTTAAAAATGCATGCCAAAAATATATAGGGCAAAAAATATTTACAATATTGAAATTATGAATTAAAAGAAGCTTTAACAAATGTATATTCATAAGGAAAACAGTGTTATCTTCACCTCAGTGCCCAGTATAACAAATTGAACTTGGCTGAATAATGAACTTGGGATCTGGGGATGTTGACCTACAATATGGCAGCCATGGGAAATAACTCTTGCTTAAATCACCTTGATGGAATACCATCTATATGTTACATTAATACATAAACTAAATTTTTTGCAAGAAAGTTAACCTATGCAACTTCTGGGTGTATATGCATTTACTGACTAACACTAGATACGCAGAGGAATGTAGAAAACGTTCTGCACTTTAATGGTTTAGAACAATAAACTGATAACATGATAACATACTTAAACTGTGTACAAACAAAAGGTTCAATATTTGTCAATAAAGATAAACTTTGGAGTGTATTTGAACAACAAGCTTCTACCATTGGTGAGCAGCGATCTCATTTTACCTACATCATATGATCAGTTTACAAGTCCATGATAAATGTTTATGAGAAACTGTAGTGTTGTTGTAGAATTCCAAAATGAATGAGTCAGTGTTTTTGTCATCATATTTAGTTCAAGATACTGCAGAATATTGAAAGATTTAGTGAAACAATAAATAATACATTTGTCCCTTGAATTCAAACATATTATTAAGTATATAGTCAAGTGGGTTCAATAGTTATCACCTTGTACTGAAGAGTACAAATATTTAATTTTGGTGTTGCAGATGCAAATAAGTATAAATTGTTAGAGGTAAAATACTGGAGTAACTATATCCTGACAATGTGCATACATGTTATCAATTATTTAATTTGATGGAGTGGTTGGAAGCACATCAGACTTTAATGCCTTAAATTAATTCTAGACTAAGGACATTTTTACAAGCTGGTACATTATTACACTTGTGGTAGATTGCCGGTGGCCAGTTAGCTCAGATGGTAGGGCATCTGACTAGTGATTCAGGGAACCCTGGTTGAAATCCTGGTCTGGTTATCACATTTTCTCCCCTCCTGTTACATACTTAATAGCAGTGTTTTCCCTTTATTTCTAAGTAAAAGGTTAGAGACCATTGTAACAGGCTTTGGGTTGAAGTTTATGACAAAACTCTGTGGACCTTACAACAACTTAATTTTGATTTTTCAAAATTTACATGTATTTTTATTATTCTGAAGCGGGATTTTTATCAATGGAAGCGGTCGATTTGGCCGGTAGTCTGTTCTTAGGGAAAACACTGTAATAGTCATCACATGACCAAGGATCAAGATGACATCTTATCAAACTATATGAAATTTTAATACCTTATTGCAGTATTCATTAAAACATTCACCAATTAATACAAAACAATTGTTAATGACTGTTGACATTTGATATATGTGACATGATGATGCATTGTCTCTATACATTGTTCATGTTGTTACAAAACAAATATTAATGTTGACAGTTGTAGGAATAATAAATTAAAAATCATAACATTTTATACTAAAACTGTAATGAAATAATTACCTTGGATTATGTAAATAAACATCAGCTCTCACAGACTTCCATAAAACAAGACAAACAGTCAACAAGACAAAGTGAAAGTTACTCATTTTGTCTTTGACTTCACACACAGTCTACTTAAAAATTTGCTTCAGTCTCTGTATTCGAGGTGTGTCAATATTTAAATCAAGCAGTAATTTCATCCAACCCCAAATTAGGGAAACTGGACACCCTGTGACGTAGATAAGTATCGCAAGCACAGTAAATTATCGTATACACCGTTTACACATTATCTGACTCATGGTCACTCAACATCCTGATTCCCTTTCTGCGTAAATATTCCGCGCGCAGGTATAGTTCGTAAATGATTTAAGTTCACGTTTTGAAAGAGTTTATTTATAAATAAGTTACTATACTTTAAACTTAATTCTTAATTTTGATATTGGTAGGCACAAGAACTTCTAAGTGAAAATAGATTGTTGGTGTATATAAAGTTGCATTTACAAAATATCTACTTTCATTTTCACGCGAATGAATATTATTTACAATGTGTATTTTGATCGCAGGTGAGGACTGAGGTGTGTAACTGTGTTACAGTATAACTGGCAGAGAGGATAACAATAATAAAGGTAAGAAAACACATAACAAACATACACGTAAATTTATTTAGGAAAAATCTTCCCTATTTATTGCCAAATGTGTAACGTTAGTGGGAAGATAATGAGGAAAAAAAAAATTCACGATAGTGTCAGCTGATAGAACCATGTATACTCTCCCATTTGTGAATTTTCAAAAAAAAAAAAAAAAAAATGAAGTTTTAAATTGAAAACACTAGCCTGTTATATTGGACGGACTATTAAGGGATATCGTAATGAAGAACTGAGTGTACTCCCTATAAAGGACAGTAACTCTGGCTTATAAAATGTATACATTATAGCAGATAAAAATAAAATGATTTAATTTTGTTGAAGTTTGATATTATAGACTTTTTCACATATTTTATGTAATTTCTTTTTTTTTGTTTTGATTTTAGAATGAGGAGGCTGGTTCAGTTCTGTGCCTGTATGTTGCTGCTCCACCAAGTTGGAGCAGATTTGTACTTGCATATGCCAAGAGGCAGCAACAATAGACTTAACGAGGCCACAGCAACAAGGGCTAATGCTAACAGGGTGTTTGATTCACAGGTATGCCCAGTAACATTATACAATTATGGACCTGTTTAGAAGGGAGACATCACAAATTATCTAGTCTAGGGTATCACCTGAGCCCGATGGTGACAACCCTACTCAGACCTAATAATTTGTGATGTCTCCCTTCTAAACAGGTCCATAATAGTTTTATTATCCTGATTGAAGAATCTGAATTTTATAAAATAGAATAGGATATGTCAATCAAACCTCTTGTGTTATCCTTAACCCACTGTTCTGATTCCATACCGAGGGTACTTTCGAAATATATCAACAGACAATTTTGAGGTCACCATTAGAATTTATTGTTTACCAATACTGCATATATATCAATTATATATGAGAGGAACCTTGCTTATGACATTTTATTGTCATCTAAAGGGAGATAACACAGTTGCAAGTCTGCTCCCTTGCGCTATTTTATTGTCATTTGAAGGGAGACAACACAGTTGTTACCCCATGTGTGAGGGGACATCACAGATTGTCTCCCTGCATGTGATGTTCTCTAGACCAATCAGATTAACTGTATTATTCTGAAGGATAATAATGCTATAATTGCTTACCTTCTTGTATTTAACCCTAAAAATAGGTAATAACCTGTAGACTTTATAAAGCCTAAAATGACCCTCTGTTCAAGTATGATAGTTACATGTAAACTATGATAAAGTTAAAAGGAGTTGAACCCTTTTGCATACTTAGAAGATACAATTATATTAATTAGAATTTGTGCACCATAGTATTTTTTGTGTGTGTATGTGTGTGAAAACATCAGCTACCATACATGTAGCACAGTTTTTTTTTGTACAAAGACTGTTTTAAAAAACAATGTTGCAGAATTTTTTATGACCTTTATAGTCCATGCCATTTATATCTGTTTAAAAGGTGTGAGTGAAATAATCAAATATTTTTATATTGACATCATTTACAGAACAACAACAGAGGGGGTTACAACGTGGGAGATGTGGATAAAGACAAATCAGGAAACAATGAAGGAAACCAGTATAGAATGGTAAGTACCATGAGAGAATGGTATTAAATGGTAGGTACCACAAGAGAATGCTTAAATGGTATAGAAGTACCCTGACAGAATGCTAAAATGGTATACAATGGTAGGTACCATGAGAGAATGCTAAAAACCTGGTAATATAGAACTGCAAGTATTACTGGGAGAGAATAAATCAGCTACAACATGGTGAATACCAGTAATAATATTTAAAACGGTATAGAGTAGTATAAAACTATACAACAAATCAATGGAAGCAGTATAGAAAGTACTGTAGATTACTAAAGCAGTATAGAAAGTACTGTAGATTACTAAAGCAGTATAGAAAGTACTGCAGATTGCTACAGCAGTATAGAAAGTACTGCAGATTACTAAAGCAGTAAAGAAAGTACTGCAGATTACTAAAGAAGTATACAAAGTATTCAGAATTCCAGATTTACTTAAGCAGTATAGAAAGTACTTCAGATTACTAAAGCAGTATGCAAAGTACTGCAGACTACTAAAGCAGTATAGAAAGTACTCCAGATTACTAAAGCAGTATACAAAGTATTCGGAATTCCAGATTACTTGAGCAGTATAGAAAGTACTTCAGAGTACTAAAGCAGTTCAGATTATAACAGTGTAGAAAGGACTCTAGATTTTTAAAGCAGTATAGAAAGTACTGCAGATTAATAAATGGCAGTATAGAGAGTACTCCAGATAACTAAAGAGGTATGAAAAATACTTCAGATCACTAAAGCATTGTAGAAAGTACTTCAGATTAAAAATGTATAGGAATTACTAAAGCAGTATAAAAAGTACTGCAGATTACTAATTTGAAAGCATTATAAAATGTATTCTGGAATACTAAAGCAGTCTAGAATGGCTAGTAACATATATTAATTAAACATGGGGGACTCATAAATACCATACATTGAGGAGACCTTGTACAGATAAATGACATAAGGTGCCATAAAGATTTAAAGAAGCAGACATTTTATTCATTGATCATCATCATAGGTTTCAGCACTTTCTGCATAAATTCATAACAAAATATGCCAGATAACAAATATGTAAGTGGCATGGAAATTAAAAAAAATATTTGGAATGAAATGTGAATTTTGATTTTAGTATTCAATTAGCTATGTAGGTGGAGGTGGTTTTGACCCACACCTGATATAGATTTCATTTCTAGTGTGTATAATGAATAAAATGTCAGTATCATGTTTTGAAGAAATAGAAAAGTTAACATAAATCGCAAAATCAGAAATGTGGGTGTGATACCGTTGAACCTTTTTGTGACAAGCTGCTATAATGGTGGCTTGTCATGAAAACATGCAACTGTTCAACAATTTGCAAGTTTTTTTCCGTAATTTTATCCCCAAATTGTTATAGAATTACTGTCTCAAGGAAAAAAGCATCAATAACCCTTAAAGCTGACCTAAATTTACAATCACAAGACTTATAAAAGTATTTACTGGTAATTGGTCATGACACAAACTATTCTGGATGCTCAAGTGGTGCATGAAGATTGTCACAGACTGAACACTGCAATATATGATGCAAGCTTTAAAGCATTTTGAATTTAAATGAATTTGAAGTATATGATATTGAAATTTAATGTTTACATGGTAGTTCTAAACAAGCAATAATTGTACAATCTTAAAATATTTCACTTTGTATCATAGTACATATGCACTATGTAAATTATGTAAAGCGATCAGTATAAAATGACTCAAGAATATTCTTCTGTCTCTCAAGGAAGCAGATTTAACATAGTATTAAATAATGACACTGGTTTTCAACCTCAGAAGTCCGTATAGAGGAAGCTGTGTTAGTTTCAGTTACAAGATCCAGGAAGTCAGCAATCCTGGATGACTAAATGACAATTACCTTGTGTGTACGATATTGTCAATTACGGCAAACTACTTAACAACGTACGTCTTCATATTGACGCACCTTAAAATATTACTTAAGTTATAATTTGCATAAATATTTACTTTCTCACTTGAATTTAATCTCATGATTTTGAACTAGATCTATATGTTACACATCATATCAGATTTTGAATTTTTTTTGCAGATCTTTAGGGGCATTATAACAATATGCAGACCTATATAAATTAAAGACTCATAAACTAGTAATTTTACACTGTCCACTGGTGTCATGATTACAAAATTTCTGAAAATTTTCAGTTAGGAACAATTTAAAAGGATGAGATTGACTTTGCTTATCACTATACTATAGATCACCAAATGTTTGTGACACCTTATTTTCTAGAGATAGTTGGTTGATTTATTAAGGAGTGATATGATAAATACAAAAAATGGATACATGAGTGGTATATATTTTTGAACCTATTTTGGTTATAAATGATGCAAATAATATTAAAGAAATTGTGAAACTTTTTTTGATGTCCAAAATTCTACCTTTTTGCCATCACCCTAATAATTCAATCTATACAACTTTTTATTACTTTATAGGACATTTAATATATAGTGAAACTTTGAATGAAATAATTAATATTATTAAAATCTATGCAGCTAAACTTCATGATACTTAAACAAACACAATCTTCATTCTGATTTTCATAATTTTTGAAAAGTTTGTTTCATCTGTCCTTAAGTGAGGAAAAATTCATGAAATTTGGTTGTTGCTGTATGCAAGAATGGAATTTTCACCAGCAGTCTTGTGTAACACCAAAATAAAGGTCTCGTGAATAAAAAGTGATTTACAGTATTCCATACATTGCCCACGTGGCGCAGTGGTAAGAGCATCTGCTCTAGAGTCGCAGAGTAAGGAGTTGAACCCACTGTGGGACATGGAGACCAGTCCCTCAGATGAGACCATATAAACCAAGGTCCCGTGTCGCAGTAGGTGCTGGCATGATAAAGATCCCTCACTGCTCAATGGCCCTGAGGGCTGAGCATAGGTCAAAATTTGCAGCTCTCCATCGGCAAGTGGTGGTGTCTCCATATATGTGAAAAATTCTCGAGAGGGATGTTAAACAACAAACAAACAACAGTATTCCATACATATAAAATTCCTGTGGAAAAAAATTGAAAATATATTCATTTTGTATTGCATTAAAATTTTTTATAGCAATATTTCCAAAGTGGGTCAGCTACCCCAAATGTGAAAGACAAAACTTACCTGACCGTAGAATGGACCAATCAGCATGGATGTGGGGGGAGTGAGAATACAAACCCCCAGAAACACAACTGTCACATGGTGCTCCAGTACATGTGTCAGGATGATGTGTCATCACCTGTAGGTAAGTTTCCATAGCAACCTCAGGTAGATATTTTAATCATACACCTAACTCATCCATTTGTAATGGTGCATGGATGAGTTAGGTGTATGCAGAGAAGCTTTTGTGATACAAACACAGTCAAACCTCATTATCTTGATTCTGAAGGGGCTTTGAGTACTTTGACATATCCGAGTATTTATAGAGACACATAAAGGTTAAAATACGTAAAGAAAATGAGGGTAGGACTTTGGTCTCACTTAAAACATATCCATGTATTCAGGATATCAGTGTTCAAGCTAATTTTCAACTGTATACATGTAAATAAAATGAACTAAATCTTAGGCAAGTGAAAAGTTTGCTAATTAGTTCAGCAGGGTAATTATAACCTTTTACACATAGGTACTGCCACTGGACTTTATCTATTTTCTTATCACAAAAAATGTATTCTATGTATTCTCCTATCTGATTTATTAAGTAGGGGGTTATATTTTTTCTGATAAGAAAGATAGGTAACATCAAGTGTCTGTTGTTTAAGGTGCTTGTAAGAATACTTGTTCACTTATGAGTCCAGATAACATGGTTTAATAATAATTATTTTAAATTTGCTTTCAGGTACAGCAGACACTTTAAGAAATGGTGTCTCAACTCAAACTCCGAATCACAACAGGGCTGGTAGTTTAAATGAGAACAAAAACACGGCCCAGAACAGAAAGAATAACAATATTAATACGGAGAGGGTGCTGCAGGAATCCTGGGATTGGTACGACAAGTGTTACATGAGAGAGAGAAACAAAGGTAAGGGGTGGGGGTCTTTATGATCTCCTAGCCAGGAAAGGGTTAAATTATCAGATTAAGAGATAGGTAAAGGGAGGTAACTCATACTTTGTAAAGATATGGAAACATGGGATTGGTACGACAAGTGTTACATGAGGGAGAGAAACAAAGGTAAGGGCACAATTCTCTGATTCCCAGGCAAGAGGTACATATGTAGTTATCAAATTCCTAGGTATAAAAAAGGAAGTAGCTGATAATTTGTAATGGGATTGCATCAAGATATCAGTATATAATAGCATCATTGAATCAATTAAAGGTCAAATTACTTATTCAATTTAGATTTCTGATACTTGAGAATATAAGAAAATGCAAATATTAGTCAAAGAGAGATAACTGCATATGATACAATGCATTAATATGGCTTTTATCATTGTTGAAGTTTCATGGGAGCGATCAAATAAGGAGAAACAATTATTACAAAGTTACAAATTCAAACATATTGAACATTTTTAAAAATTAATTTATAATCATTAATGAAATTAACTTTACTCAAATCCGGATTCAGACATTTTATCTTAAATGTTCAAATTTCTCATGGTAGGACTGTTTAATGCTGACCAGAAGCTAAAGTCAAACAATGGGCTGGGATTTAGTAGTGCCATCTACACTCGTCAGAATCCCAATGGGAATCGCTATGGTTACGAGTGCCCAGAGGAACGTGATCACTTCCCCTATTGGCATCCCACCCCCAGGACTGATGTTGCCATCCTAACAGATAATACATCTCTTTGTAGGTAGGTGTCAACATTTTTTGTAAACATGCAGTGACAAGAAATGTAGTTATAAAGGTAGAAAAAAAAGTCTCAAAAGTATTAATATTTAAGGGGGACATTTTTTTTTTAAAAACTTGAAACAAAAAATTAGCTATTTATTTAGCATGGATTTTTTTAGTCTTTCCTTATATGATACATGTACATGTATATGAATATTTGTTTTTCATTTAAAAAAAAAACAACAAAAATGTGACTCTTTATTGCATTTATGAAATAGTTTAAGATGCATCTCTGAAGTTATGTACAAAAGCTACCTATAATTTTTAAAAAATATAAAATCTTTTATTTCTTTATTGCAGTTTCTTTGAGGAGGGAAGTTTTAACAGGAAGGCTTACGGAGAGTGTATAGAAGAGTACGGTGATGGTAGTCGTAAACACTGGTCTCGCTGGAACAACAGACAAGAATGTACAGAAAATGGTGGACAGTGGGTGGAGCTTAGCAGCTATATTGAAAAAGCTACACGTATGTATATAAACTGTTTTCATTAACTTATTTCTTTATTCATATTTTATATTTTTTTTATATCCAGTAATCTGTAAGGGAATAATTGTCATTTATATGACCCCCCCCTTCTCTCAGTTACCAGAAGCATTTGTATTATTAACTTAAATCCTGTACAAAATTTCAGCACTAAACATGTAGCTTTAACAAAATTAAAACATCTTTGAGACACAATACAGTGCACATAACAGGTAATTTTAAGACATGCAAAAATTAAGTCATTGAAAAAAAAATCATCTTTAAACCATCAAAGTATTTGATCAATTATAACATATATAGACAGATGGCATTAAGATGATTTTTACAGTTTTCTTGTTGTTTAAAAGTTTATGTGTTTGACATGTTGATGTAAATTTCCCAGAATTCACCTCTGAAGGTCAGTGCACATCTCAGGCGGCGCAGGGAAACAGGTACGTCTGGGCAGTGCCATACGATGCCACTGACGTCACCAAGAAAGAGTGTCTAGTTCAGGCGCCACCAATAGACTGTCAACAGGCAGACTGGTCAAGGTAGGGGAATTAAGCATTTAAAAAACTGCCTATAAAACACAAATTTCTGTCAAGATGAATTATTTAGTGTGCCCAATGTGATAACAAATAACAGAAAATAACTAAATCATTTTACTTGTATCAGTAAGCAGAGAATAATTAATTGTTTTTTTTCAGCACTTGAATCTTACATATATGTCAGTAAAATGATTACTTTAAACTCTTTACAGATCAAATCATCTTGGAAATGGTATAAATGGAGAGGCCAATCGCTATCAATGGGCTCTGCCATATTTCCCATCCAACAAAGACAAGAGATGTGTGTTTAGGATGAGGTAATGTCTTTCATAATACAAGTATGTTAATATATAGGATCAGTAATTATTCCAACAGCATATTATAACCTATTGAGTCCATATCAATATTATTTCTTCAGCCAGTCTATATATATTGTACTGCCTTTAAACATCTGATAAATGTCTTCTTTTTAAAGCCAAATCAAGCTGTACATGTAATTTTATTTATGCCCCTCAACTGTACATCAAAACAGTTATTATATGATTAAATTACAAATAAAATTTTATTTTTGTTTTCAGGTACAACATTTCCACAGATGACTATGCCCCTTATTCCACTGATAGCTCTAGGAATTTGTAAGTAATTGCTGATTTTAATTAATTTTTAAAAATTTTTCCTACTCTCTATGTAAACATTTAAATCCTATCCTACATCAGCACTCAAGCATTCTCAATGGGAGATTTAAAAAAAAAAGAGTTAATTTAAGTAAGAACACACACTGTATAAGTAGAATTTTTAGCAAAGATTCAATTTTGGCATTAAATTATTACTAAGAGTGTTAGATCGCTAAATTTGAATATTGCTAACAGTTCATTCCATATAGGAGATAGCAGCTATCTTTCTTGGCACCATAAAATCACTAAAATTAATTCTCACTGAAAATGTATACCAATTTTTTTAGGGCAAATCGCTAAATTTGTGTCTAGCTAAAAATTCCACTATATGGTAATGCCAACATTGTATGTCTATGAATGTAAAATGTTGTGAAATTGTTTGAGAATACAGATAAAATGATAAAGAGGAAATCTTCCAATGTTATAGGATATTGTAGCCCTAATTTTTTAGTTCATAAAAGAAATCGATAATTGTTCAAAAATGTAAAGAATTTTCTTTTATTCACAGAAATAATGGAATAGAGGGTATTACCTCCCCTATCGAGGACAACCCATATGTTGATGTTGGAGGTAGATCTGCCCTTCGGTTGAACATCAACACCGACCAGACAGGGCGTATATTCCAGGACCGCAGTCACCTCTTTAAGCTCCTCACCAGACCATCCTCCATCCAATCAGATAACATCTTCAACATAAATGTCCGAGGAAAGCGCGGAAACATAGTGCAGACATACCCAGCTGTGGAGTACGATTTTATCCCTAATAATCTACAGTTGTCAGAATCAGACTCCGTACATATACAGTGGACAGGATCAAATTCACATAACAATGGTGGGGGTGGAGGTGATGGACAGGCTGGGGATGAGGGTCAAGGCACTGGAGGTGAGTGAGCAGGTGGACATAAAAACTCTTGTTGAGATTGTCCCTGTAGATATAGAAATGAATGGGAGAATTTTAGATAATATCATAAACTTTTTATCATACAGGTATATAGCAAATGAATTTAATTTGGTTTAAAATTTCTTCAAAAAATGTCTTTTATTTGAATCTGAATGCCACTGTGAAGCATATCATACATATATTAGTTAAACATTTTCTTGCTACAGTATTTTTAAAACCTGGTCGAAGAGCGTTCAAACTTAGGGAGACAACCAGTTCATAGAATATGTTTATAGATTTTCTGATCTGCTAAGGGATGACTTTTGGCTCTTTTCCAGGCACTGACAGAAGCAATATTGTACAGATTGCTGATCTGAATGATAATTTTCCGATGCCTTTTGAAAAGACCAATATGTGGACAAATGCTAACATTCGCTGGATTTACCATGGTAAAACTGATGTCTCCCCAGAAAATTTAGCTGTTTCCATGGCATCTGCTGGCTATTACAGGTAATTTTATTTAGTTTACTTTCTCTTGATCTTAATTATCAGAATATCAATGATCTTGTATGATTGTAATCCAAATTTTTTTGCAATGTAGTATTAGTCAGCAGAATTTTCATGCATTTAAGAAAAACTTATTTGAATCATTAATTCTGCTCCATTTTTTTTTCAACTTCAGTCTTTGAAGGGAAAAAAATTAGTCATAAAGCCATTACCCTTTAATCCTCAGGTCTTTTCATCTTTCAATATCATATTTAATGAAGAACTGTGTGCAGAATAAATCTCAACCATTCTTTTATTTACAGATGCATAAAGAAACAAGACTGCCCTGAGGCAGCACACAATGACTACATCGTGGAAACCAAAACCAAAATGAACGATTTACTCAACAATGCCCCCGCCTCGTTCACAGGTGCAGTCCTGAGGTTTAAAAAGGGAACCTATCATTATATGTCAACGAGAAATAACAACTTCTCCAACAGAAGTCAGAAATCAACACTGACTGTTGTATAAGCTTTAATAATTGTTAATTATTAATTAATTACCAAATGAGATTATTTATTACAATGAATTGCCAATATAGCCATATCAAATGTGTGCTCAAGCAGCTCATGATATTTTTACCTTTTCTGTTTTTTACATTTCCTTATAGCTCAGGACATTTGTCTTGCATTCCAATTTTTATCTTCAAAAATCAAAATCAAATTTTCGTAACTGAGAAATATTGTCTCATATTGTTTTGAGTTTATATATGAGGGCACTATGTCTTGTTTTATATCTGTATATTAGATAGAAAACTATTGGAGATTATATTCATTCTGCTCACTCGATAAATATAGGCAAAAGATATTAACCCCCCTCCTCCCCCCAAAAATGATATTAAAAAAGAAATTATACAGATTTCATCAATTTTTATTTATTTGATTCTGATATGTGTTCATTTGTATGTTTGTACTATACATGATTTAGAGTAAAGTGATTACGTATCCATCAGTACCCATTTTTCACATCTGTTTGAAATTTTCAAGATCATCGAAGATCAAATTCATCCTCAAAGTACGAGTCCATTGACCAAAGACATTTTTACAATTGAACTTACTAGTTACTGTAATTAAATCATTAATGCATCTGACATTTGTAAATCAGTGACTTCACTTTGTTCATAATAATTATTTGTTCTTTGTTTAATTACTTTATCAATTGTATATAACCCCATATGGCTCTACAAAGACTAAGTGCTGTGTTACATGTATAACCTGCAGGATCAGGAATATGTTATTGTAAATTATTGCAATATTTGATACAGAAAATCTTTTAAAAAGAAAAAAAAACATTAAAAAATTTATATCATACTAAAAGTTGTTATGTGTTATTTTTCATGGTTTTCGGGTATAAAACGTAAATACACTCCAGTTACAAGTATTTATTTCACTTCATTTCAATAAATTATCCTTGACCCGAAACGATATAATGAAATGTTTTTTCTAGTTCCAAGGATCCGAGTTTAAATAGGTCAAATCAGGACAACGGAGACGCATTTCGTTGAAGTCCTTTAAAATATTACGAGACGCATTTCGGTGAAGTATCAAATTCGTTTAAACTTTAAAAATATTACGATCAATATTGTGAAACTCTTTGAGAAGATTTGTATGAAGAACTAATTAATGAAATGATACAGCCAATCCATACCCTCTGTACTGCAAAGAAATAAAAGGGGTATTCATAAACAAGATATCGGGTAACTCAAAGAATGAATACAACTTTTTTATGGCTGTTTTTTTAAGGCTAGCATAAGGAAGGTGAAAAACACACCAGGAAAAAATACGAAGATTTATGTCATATTGTCAAAACAATTCAACTCAGAGGGGCGCTTTTCACCTCCTTCTCTGTTGGCAATATGATACAAGTTGATTTGCTAAAAGCTCCACTGCGTACTCATACAAAAACCGTGTTTATTAAACTGTTTTTGCTCATGGTCGCTTCTACGATCCAAAATCGATCGCATTCTTTAAATTGAATTACAGGCCTCCATTTTGATCTGACAGATCAGATGATATTCAATTAGTGAGTCTCCTTGTGTTCTAGTGAATTAATATGTCAGCAGATTTATTTTTGAGAGTGCGCCAGTGCATAGATCAAATCGTGCAATGGAGTGGTAACTGTGCATATTTTAAATGTGTATTCAAGGATCTATAAATAAACATTAACAGCTGGTAAGTGATTGCAACTCAAGGTTTTTTACGTTTATATTGATTGATTATTTTTGTTGTTGTCTTGTGTTTCGGTGCTTGAATGGTTTCTTTTTTCTTAATTTCACATTTTTGTATACAGTTCAATAGAAAAATATGAGCATAAATTGGAGCAAGATCCCAATGGCGCCAAAACTAGTTCAACCACCCAGGGGCGCTGAACCCATCTAAGTATTCGTTACATGAAGCACATAAATAGTTTGTTATATATACAAGGCTGGGTATTTACAGTCTGTATCTGTTACTGCTGGTGCTGTACTGACCTGCACCGAGTTGGCACTGCACTCAGTACTGACCTGTACTAACTCCGTACTGTACTGGCCTGATTCGTTGTTGAACAATCCATACTGATCAGTGGCGGATCTGGGATTCTTGAAAAGGGAGGGGGGCTAAAAGATTAAGGGTCTGGGGAACACATAAATAATTGCAATATCTACAACAACAAAAAAATTGATTTCTTAATCTTAATATGTAATTTTTGGTCACAAAAAGGAGGACCTCTAAATCCGCCATAACTGACCTTAACTGACTCGGTACTGATCTGACCTGACTTGGTGCTTACTGACCCATACTGCATTGGCACTGTACTAAGTACTGACCTGACTCGGTACATGTACGTATACTCACTACTGATCTGAACTCACTCGGTACTGATCTCAGTACTAACCTGTATGACTGTACTTTTGTATCGACTCGGTATCTGTAGTCACTACTGTCCTGAACTTATTCGATACTACTTTCAGTACAGTACTGACATATATTGACTCGGTACTTTACTCAGAATTTACTTGTATTGACACGGTGCCTGTGCTCACTACTGATCTGAGCTCACTTGGTACTGCTCTCAGTACTGACCTATACCGCCTCGGTACTTTACTCAGAATTGACTTGTATTGACTCGGTGCCTGTGCTCACTACTGACCTGAGCTTACTCGGTACTGCTCTCGGCACTGACCTTTACTGATCGGTACTTTACTCAGAACTGACTTATATGGACCAGTATTTGTACTCGAGCACTACTGACTTGAAATCACTTGGTACTGTACTTACTTGTAAGTACTGACCTGCAGTGACTCGATCTGAACTGACTCGGCACTGTATCAGTGAAATGAATATCTGTAGCGTTTACCAATGATATTCCCCCGTTTCAGAAATCGAATAAATTCTATTTTTGTCAATGTTTGTCCGTCGAAATTCTACATGGATTTACATGTATATTATTGAAATATTATCGAAATGTAGCGTACAATTTTACTTAGTTTCATTGAAATCAGATTAAAGCTGTTTGAGTAGCATTTTGAAATTAAAAGATTATTTTATTTTTAAAAGCAATGATAAAACTTTTTTGTTATCGAAATCAATACAAAAACATAGGTCATATATCGTCATATCGTAACGTAGTCAACAGTTGAACCAAATTAAGTTAAATCGAAATCAGACCAAAACTTCAGGATGAAACACTTCGAAAAAATTGTTTATGAAATAGATATCGACGTAATTTTTACCATAAAAATAGACTCTTCTGCGCAGTAGATCTGAAATAAAACACTATCCATCACATATTAATTTAATTTTTCAAAAAGGCGAAATATATTTCTCACGCGCTTTGAGGAAATTAAATGCTACTTAGAAATAGGACAAGAATTTCCATCAACTGACTATATGTCAAAATTTCTGTCTAAACATAAACCATCTTAAATCTATCTGAGATCAGAAACCAAGTCATTTGCTTGCATTTGCTTAAATTTTTGAAAATAATAATTATAATTATTTTTGTAGCGACGTTTGGAACGCTGATGAAACATACAGAAAGAAATGGCGCATTCTGGATCATCTCAGTCCTACAAAGCTTGTGAACTGTGCGAAGCGGACTCGGTTCTGATGCACTGTAGTTCCTGTCACATCAAGCTCTGCAGTGACTGTGTCGGCAAACACTTGTCATCTCAAAACTGCAAGCAACATGACGTAGAGGGTTTTAAATACCGGAAGAATGACGTAAAACTTCCGGTATGCCGGCAGCATCCTAGTCACAGTTGTTCTATGTATTGCGATGACTGCGATGAAGCGGTTTGTAGCAAGTGCGTAGCAGCTTCAGATCACAAGCAACATCGGCTTGATGACATAACGAGAATGTACGTAGCAAGACGATTACTTTTGTTGCAGGAAGCCAGCTTTCTAGAGAACACAGTGATTCCGCAATACGACAAAATGGAATCCATTCTTGATACGAAGATGTCTAAGCTATCTAATGATTATTCCTCTGTGTTGAACAAGTTGGTTTCGGAAGAAGAAACCCTGCATGAAATGATAAGGTCAATTTTCCGCCAGAAAAAAGAAGAGACCCTCGCAATGAGAGAAAAGGATTTGAAAACTCTACATGAACAGAAAAATGGGATTTCTTGTTCAAAATTAACTGTGGAGTCACTGGTGTCTAAGTATAAACAAGTGTGTGGTTCAAACGATGTTGACAAAATATTGAGGTGTCCTTTTGAAAAAGATCAGTACAGAAGAATTCCTCCTGTTGCAGAAATCACGCCTCCCAACTTCTCCTCCATTGAAGTTGACGAGGAATTCTTCAAAAAATTTGTAAAATTAACACCTTCTATTCAAATTCTGAAGTCTCGTGGCCAACGACTCGAAAGTACCCAAAGCTTTGGAGAAAAGAAGGAAATTGCAGCAGAAGTAGAGCTTGTAGCATCGTTTAAAGGCGTGTACGAAGAATTACAACGAGTGAAATGTATCGAAGACTACCAAGCATGGCTGAGCGGAAGCGCCCATGGCACTCTCACGCGGATGGATATCAATGGTAAGGTCCTTGAAACGGTTCATGTCACTCATGGTTATGCACCTAAGGACATGGCTGTAACAACAGATGGTCATTTAATCTATTGTGACGTGGGAAACTTAAGTATCATGGCCATCAAAGATGGAACCTCAAAAGTCATTGCCAAATCTAACAAATGGATGCCGACTGCCGTGTGTGTGACGTCAGTGGCGGGGCATTTACTTGTGTGCATGATTTCCAAAGATCAGAGATTTGGCCGCGTTGTCCGTTACGTGGGATCCAAAGCCAAACACAAGATTCAGTTTGATGACAAAGAACAAGATCTTTTCAAAAAGCCCACATCTGTGGCCGATAACATCAACGAAAACATATGTGTGATTGATTCAAATACACAGTCTCTTGTTGTACTCAGCAAAGCAGGTTTATTTCGATTTAAATACAACGGAAGCCAGAAGACACATTTGCACACGTTCTACCCAAGTGGTCTGGCCACAGACAACCTAGGTCAAATCATCGTGGGGGATCGAATGAATACCTGTCTAGATGTTATTGACAAGGATGGTCAGTTCATTAGATCTATTGCAGGGTCCATTTTGAACATTCCTTCAGCCATAAGCATCGACGATGACGAGAATTTGTGGGTTGGAGAATTTCACACCGGAATAGTCAAAATTATCAGATATCTACAGCCGAGTGAAAACAACGGCAGCTGTCAGGACAAATAAACCTACTTGTTGTGAAGGTCACATGTTTAACAATATTGAAATACATGTATATCAAAAAGCAACTGAAATACATGTACAAGAAAAAACAACATCATTGAAGAAATATTATGTTAGATAAATGTTTTTATGTCAATTATTTCAAACATATTTTGATGTACCTTTGCTTTTTTGGTGTAATTCATATAATATTACATAATAGATAAATGAAGGTGCCGTAGTACATGTATATCTTTATGTAAAAATAGTATCAGTATATTTTTTTTTCTTATTCACGCAAACTTGGGCTTTTTAACATTGTTTCTTAGACGCACAGCAATTCAATAATGAATTACAAAAAATAAGCACAGAATGAATAAAGATTAATTCTTTTAAAATATAGTCATATTAAGGAGTGAAAAGCTTTCATGAGACGATAAGTTTCATATGGACCTATCGTAATTTGGAACAAAAATCTGCAGTAAATGTGCCTTCATAAATGTGTCCCCCCTGCTCGCTGAGCAACATGACGTAACGATCCGAGATTGTAAGTGCCAAGTATATCGTAGATGTGACAGTTACTGCAATAACAATATCGTTGTTTTGACGGAATAGCTTTTGCTGCAGCTTTACAATTTGTGTCCGATTCGTATCCCTTCATCTCCCCCTAGGGTTCTTTCTTTTAAACATAAACTTCTGTGATTTATACGGGATTTGTAATGGAGATTTTCACAAAAATGTGGTTTTCTGCTCACTGAAGGAAAATTACACAAATACTCAGGAAAACTCGAAACACTAATTAACCTATTTAAAAAAAAATAAAAATGAATAAATAAATAAATAAAAAGATAACGGTAAAAATATGGCATATAAAATCCGCTAGGCATCTTTAATCTTTAGAAGCTTTCAATATTGTAAACAAATATGATATTGTTGGTCTTAAAATACTTACGATTTCCTGTGTTTTCTGTATACATGTATATGCACCGCTGATCCGCTCATTTAATTCTTGAGTACATTTTATGGCAAGAGGTTGACCTTGATTTGTGGGGGAAAAAAGTTTTGATTTGTTTATCAATCCATGTCAGAGTAAAGGAATGCTTAATGTACGTGTAGCAACCCAACAAGTTCACTCAACCGAGACCAAGAAAGATAATGATGTCTATACTACGATCTAAACAGGCAATGGAGAGGTCAAAAGTAACGACACGCAGGTAAGTCCGTTCATTCATACCATAGCTTTGTTTATAATGCCTGTTTTTACATATGTAGCAAATGTTTAGTCAGTCGACATAATTGTAACGCAGTTCTGATCATTCTTCTTTCAGATTATGTGCGAATCTGCCTGCTGCACTTTGTATGTGACTAGGGAATGAAAATTCAAAGCTGATGTTTATCTGGGATTACGAAGAAAATTTACAGAAATTGCGTTATGGTCGTGTAGCCTAAAAATAGTGTACGTAACTCCTTGCAAACTGTAAAGCCTTATCCTTTTCCGGTTTGGGTTGAATCTTATCAACATGGCTCAGGCGGTTATAACGTGTGAATTATGTGAGGACGAACCTGTTTTAATGCATTGTAATTCCTGCCATATCAAACTTTGCAGTGAATGTGTCGGCAAGCACGTATCCTCTCTAATCTCAAAGAAACATGACGTAGTGGGCTTCAAATACAGGCAAAGTGACGTCACACTCCCAGAATGCAATCGTCACCAGCATCAAAAATGTGATATTTACTGCAAGAACTGTAATACTCCTATTTGTAGCAGATGTGTCGTATCTCCAGAACACAAACAACATGAAATTTTCGATATTATGGACGAATATTTGACAAGAAGAGAGCTTCTTTCACAAGAAACGACTGTGCTGGAAAGGTTTGTTATTCCAGAGTTCAATAAGATGGAAAATTTGTTAAATTCCAAAATGGCAAAATTGTCACAAGATTACGAAAGTGCCACTTCCTCATTGATAAGCGAAGTTGAAAAGATTCACCTTGAAATAAATAGGAAATTTGAAGAAAAGAAAACGATACTTAGGAATTCAAAAGACAGTGATCTTGGAGAGCTGCGATCACAGATGGAAAGATTTTCAAAAAGGCACCAAGAGGCTCAACAAACCGCTTCCGATTACAGGACAGTTTTGTCTGGTAAAAACGTTGCAGATGTTTTTTCTTGTACAGTTACTGAAAACCAATTTCGAGAAATCCCTTCCATGGTTGAAATATTCCCTCCTAAATATTCACCGAGTCAAGATCCAAACAGTATCGAGGCTCTCCTTGGTAAATTTGATTTCGGAAATCGAATGTCGACTCTTCATGGTTATACGATCTCCACCATACAAAACAATGACGGCATGGTCGGGAAAAGGTTTTTAAGCCAACTGGAATTGTTGAGTTCATTTGACTCTGGATACGAGGAAATTCAGACAATCGCCTGTGCTGGTAATGATGAAATTTGGGTGGTAGGAAAGGTTCATGGAACAATGACGAAATTCAACATTAAAGGTACGAAATTGGAAACTTTACAAGTAATTGAAGGGTACTCACCTAACGATGTCAGTGTGGATGGTCAAGGCAACATACTCTTTTGTGACATGGGAGAAAATAGTGTGGTAATGTGGAACAAGGGAAAGAGAGATGTGGTGACTGTTTGGAAAAACTGGAAACCCACCTCACTATTTGTCAACAAGCTTGGGCACATTCTAGTTAGTATGGTTACGGCAGATAAAAAGAATGCACGGGTTGTCCGTCTTGTGAGAACGAGGCCGAAACAGAAGATACAGTTTGATGACAGAGGAGAGCAGTTGTTTTTCAGACCCCAGGCCATAGTAGAGAACAGAAACGAAGATATCTGTGTAGTCAATAGTGGTTCCAAAGGTTTGGTGGTTGTGAATAAGTCTGGGATTCTTAGGTTTATCTATAACGGGAATCAGATCTCCCAAACGTTTTTCTTTAGGCCAACATCCGTAGTCACTGACAGTTTTGGACAGATTCTAGTTACAGACGCCATGAACAATTGTGTTCATATTTTGGACGAAGATGGGGCGCTTCTCCTTTGTGTTGGACGGTCCATGATGAATATACCATCTGATCTTGACATTGATGAAAACGAAAATCTTTGGATTGGGGAATATCATTCTGGAAACGTGAAAGTTTTCAGATACTTGGCAGCCTGTCGGAATGCTGAAAGTATTCCTCCGACATAATGCATGTAATAATAAGCAGAGAAGGAAGGTTTATCACAAAAATACATTCGGTCTGATTCTAAGAACAAAATGGTCCTAGGCTGGAATATGTCAAGTTGGAAAAGAAATTACATGTATTTCATTTCTTATTTTGTCTCTGTAATTTATTTTTGTACAAAATATAAACATGAATTTGGAAAAGCCTCTTTTACTAAAGGTCTGCTGCAGAAGAGTTTTACCAAATTTTTTTGAGAACGCAAGGGATTTACTTCATGTACATGTATCGGGAATAAGAAAGCAATCTGAGCATGTTGATGAGTTGAAATCTAGATTGGCCATTCAATAAATGCAATTCTTGCCCTTTTAAACAAAAGCACTTTATTCTGCCATTGGCTTCTTACATTTGTTCTGCATATCTTCTACTTCGGATTAGCCTCGGTTTTTATTATTGGCCGCAGCAGCGGCCGATCTATTTGTAGTTGTGTTAGAAAGTGCATATGGGGATATGAGACGTTATTTCTTTATTAGTTCAGTAAAATAATTCTTAAATGATAACATGTATAAAATCATGAGTAAAATATTTTAAAAACTTGCTTTAAACTAAATCTTAATTGTTGTTATTATGTTTCAATTTCATTATCATTTCTCATGAGATAATTGATAATTTATGATTATATAAAAAGAGTTTACAATAGGTACCTGGGCGTGTGTAAGATATGAAAGCAAATCATGATTTTCCGGATAATAATGAAGTGGTAAAAGTGCATTGTGAATAAAAATTGAAAAGTTGTTAAACTAGTAAATTTTTTTTTGAATATGCTACAGCTGCGAATGACGCAACGATAATTTTTCCTACATTTTGCACCGCGCCGTGCAGCATAGCCTACTCTGCAGAAATCATGGGCATTATCACGTGACAAAGATTCAGGGTATCAGCACGTGGTTCATGAGATCTGGGGCCCTTTTTACAAAAGAACTTACGACTAAGACCAAAATTTAATTCTGCTAATAACTTTCTAATTTACATTAAATAGAAAATGGGTTTAATCATTTTAAAAAGAATGTAGAAAGATACTTTTACGCTAAAAATTTTAAACAGAATCATCAATTTTGCAATATTTTCCAATCAACTGAAGTTTTTGGTTTTGGTCATAAGTTCTTATGTAAAACGGGCCCCTGAACATAAATAGGCCTACATCTTAATCTTGATGACAATAAATTCTTATCATTTATCATTGACTTTATTACATCGATGAATCAATTTGATGAGCAAATGCACTAAAATTTCTATTTAATATTTTATTTTATTAAATAATTTATTTATTCATTTTTCTTTGAAGACAGTCTGAAATAAAAATGATCACGCTTTAAGCTTTGAATATCCTGTGCTATCCTTGCTAAAATTTTGTTTGTGGCCGATCTGATGCTTTGCATCAATTTTACTTGTTGGTAGTCCTTTAATTCTCATTCTACAGTAAAACTCGGTTATGGCGAATTTCTGGGGACCTGCAAATTTACTTCGCTATATCCATAATTCCGTATAACGAAGCGTATAAAGCCAATTTGCAATATGTTTTTTTTTCTTCCAGCCAAATGTACAATCTTTTACCTTTAAACAATTGAAACATGATTAACTCTTAAAGTAAATTTTATATTTAAGCTACACATACTTTTATGGTAGTTGTTTTTAAAGGACAATTTTCAATAAGTGTAATTTTTATTCAATCCATGAATACATTTTGAGAGTCTAATAGGAACAATTATTTTTGCTTATATGTACATGTATCTGTCTGACGTAATGTCTTAACGAGGTTCGTTCCTGAGCTTTTGAGCAGATTTTTGTGTAGACCTCTATCTAAAAAAATTCTGCATAATGTTTTAGTTCTTACAATAAATTTGGATTCTGCAATGCTAATTTAACTATATTCAATTAAAACCCCATGATTAGATTCCATACTGAAAGCATTAAGTTAGGAACTATATTTTGTGGCAGAAGGTTTTATAGAAGAAAATGATAAATTTTTCTCATTCGAAATATTTACAGTATTGTTAAGTTTGGATTCCTATTTTTACATGCAGCCTGCACACAAAGTTACACGTATTTTGAGCAGTGAAATGTTTTATGCTGGTCCAAAATAATATATTAAATTAACCGTCATGAATTCTGTCATCATATTGGACAAATATATTGTGAAAGTCCTGGGGGGAAAAACCCATTTTAGACTAAAAATTAGCACTATTTTAGTTATATCTAAAAATTAACATCACAGACCCCCACTTTTAATTTTATTTTCTGAATAAACAAGATAATTAACCATTCTGCTTAAACTCAGAAAAATGTCATTACTTTCAATTGATTTTATTGCTTGTTATATTTTTGATGCCAGAAAAATGACATTATTTGAGTGCAAAAAGGTCAAATAATTGACTATGCGCAGTAATTTTTTTTTTGTTGTCACAAATTTTAAAGAGGCTATTCAAGACGAAAAAAGACTGTTTTTGTTCCCATGATTTATTTAGATAAAAAATATTACAGGAAAAACTTTGAAAAATTGATTTATGTGTTAGACGTAATTACAGTGCAAAAAGGTCATATTAAATGCTCCGTAGCGCTGAAAGAAGCGCATTGACCCCCATTTTTGGTTTTGATTTTTAAATAAGCTATGTGTCTAGATTCCAAAAATATACTTGATAAAAAATTCTCAATACTTTTGATAACAGGATCCAACCTCCTTAATATGAGTTTTCAAAGTAAAAAAAGAGTTCAATACAGTCAATAGTGCAAGACTTGAAATTGTCCATGATTCTGAAAAAATTAAGGTCTGTTAAATGAGGTCAAAGAGACATGGATTGGTGATGTTTTTCTCTGTATTTTTTTTTTCATATAGAAGTGGAGAAATGCATAAAAAAGTATATAAAGAAAAGGGTTTTTAATGCAATTATATTAATTAAATTTTTGACAATAAAGAAACTGGGGGGATAAGCCGAGCCATATGCCTACATAACGATCGATAAAAAATCAATAAATTCATTTCACAAAAATTTCACTTTTTGTTGAATTAATGTAATGCTTATTACCATTTGCATATAAATTTGACAAAACCTGAATACTGTAACAGCGAAAATGATTCTGATTAACACAACAAAATGGCATCACGCTCAATTTTCACAGAAACTGACATAAATTGGATTATATAACTACATTTTTTAAATAGAGTGGGTCATCGTACCATTTTTTGAGAACGATTAATGAAAGGCAATGGAAAGATGTTGCTTTTTACACTTGCAAAAATTTGGTATGAAGACCCACTCTACATAAAAAATTAAGTTAACTTACTTAAATTTTCACCGTGGTCTTAAGAAATTCTAAGTCCAAAAACGCTTGCTAAATATAGAGAACTGTATGCTATTTAAATGGAAATGTTAGTGTGACTCCGTGGTCTAGTGGTTAGCGATGAGCTCTTTAAAGGGACATTTACCGAGAAAAGTGTTCGAGTCATGCTCTGATTTTTTTTTTTTTTTTTTTTTTTTTTTTTTGGTTTTAATTTTGTTTTTCTTTATAAAAAATGTCTATAGGAATAACATATTTTTCACTGGAAATAAAATGTATACATGTAGTAATGAACTTATTTACAGTAAATTATTTAAAATGCCGGATAAAAATTATAATAGATATTTGAATACTTTTATTCCCGTTTTATTTATTTTAAATAAAAGCGCTTCTAGATCACCATTATCATTATATACGATGTTAACATTTTTATAATATCTCCACAATAAGTGTAAACACTCAATATGCAGATTAATTAATAGGAAGTCCTTACCCATGTTAGACATTTGAGACAGTAAATGAAAGTCAACTGTTTAGCTTGTTTAGAATATAAATATCATTTTGAAAACTACGGTAAACATTAAAATGCTTAAGTAAATTCGAACAATTGAGAGATTTTTTCCAATAAATGTTCTTGCATAGCCGAAAAATGGGCATGGGCACATGGCTCGTCTCATCCCCCCAGATTCTTTGAATTGATCATATTTGAATGTGGAAACATCATTTAACAACAAAAGAAATCTTAACAAAAGGAGAATGGAAATTTCTGGATCTTCTTTAAAACATAAAAATTAATTTTATAATCAGTTCTGTATGTTCAACCACAAAAACACCTGAGACCATCGACACTTAGGTGCGTCGTGCTGTTTCCAGTGTTCCGTCAATTTCCTCAAACGTAAACTATTTACATTACGGGATCTGTAGCGTTATGATCAAAGACTAAAATTTAAAACCATAACGCTAAGTTCAGTGGCCCTTTTCACAAAAAAACCTTACGACTAAGACAAAAATTTTCCTTTTCTCCAACAAGCGTCTACATGTAAGCTGTAGTAGATCACAAAGAATCTTTTATTCTAATACATAGGATTACATTGTAAATTATATCTGGGAAAATAATAAATATCTTTATTGAACAAAAAATTACATAGTGGTCAATTTTTTTTTATCTTAGTCGTAAAATTTTTTGTGAAAAAGAGACCACTGCAGCTTCGCATAAAATGTATTTCAATTTTCAAGTAAAAAACGATCGGGTTCGGGATTACTAAAATACAAAAAAAAAAAAAAAAAAATCCACATGTGTTGTGATAGATTGATCATTGGATCGAGAATATGGAAAGTAACGAATCAAACAAGAAACGTTTAGAAGTTGTGGATTCATCTGGATCATTAGACGAAACATGTAAGACATTTGTTTTCCATAATGAGGACCACACATTGGGGAATTCATTGCGATACATGATAATGAAAAACCCCGAAGTTCAGTTCTGTGGCTACAGTGTGCCCCATCCTTCAGAAAACAAAATCAACTTTAGAATACAAACACACGGCGAGGAGGCGACAGAAGTATTGAAGAAAGGGCTCAAAGATCTTAACAGTGTCTGTGAACATGTACTGGAGACTTTTCAGAGTAGTGTTCGGGATTATAAGCGGCGGAATTTCTCATCGGATGTTGAAATGGCAGATGTACAAAGTTAACTGGGAAATATTTTGAATTTCTGTTTGTTTTTCCGTGTTTAACATTTAAAAACATTGTAATCATTAATTCCATGAAGCTGTATTTATATTCACCCATAATCATTATTGCATCATATGAATTTTTGTAATAACACTCTATCAATGGTTATAATATCATTCAGGGATATATTAAACAAAGCTTTTTTAATTTTCTTTTATTGAAATTGTAGTTCAGAAAGAGCACTTAATCCAGTGAAAAACATGAGATCCCAAATGAATGTTTACACATACATACATGGATAGCATACTTTTGAACATAATTTGGGATTTTAAATTTAATAAGTTAGCAAAATCTGTGAATATTGATGACTTGCATTTATTAGATAAGAACCATGCCCCCTTCCTGTACATAATGAATCTTGCTCAAATCAAAACTAGCAAGGACAATAACAAACCATGCAGGAAATAATTTTTAAGCCTTTCTTACACATGTTTACACTGATTGAATAATTAATATCATAAAGAAAGGTGTGTTTGTGAAACACTGATGCCCCCTTATGGCTCAAAGCCAAGGCTGAAGTTTTTCAAATGTAGGTCAAACTCCAAGTCAAGGTCAAGACTAAAAATGTTGGTACCCAACGAAAGGTATTGTCACAAGAAATACACTTGTGAAATATGAAAGACTTAGCACCAACCATTCAGAAAATGTGGCGAAGGCTAAAGTTTTTCAAAAGTACTTAAGTAGGTCAAACTCTAAAGTCAAGGTCATGAGGTCAGCAATACTGGTACCAAAGGAAAGGCCTTGTCACAATGAATACGTATGTGAGATATGAAAGCCTTAGCACCAACCATTTAAAAGTTAAAGAGAAGGTCAAAGTTTCTACTAATGTAGATCAAACCCAAAGGTCGAGGTCATGAGGTCAGATACAAATGAAAAACAAGATGTGTTTGTGAAACACTGATGCCCCCGTATGGCAACTTATAGCAAAGCTTAAACTTTCTCAAATGCAAATCAAATATGTTGGTACCCAAAGTAAGGTCTTGTCTTGAGGAATATACCTGTGAAATATGAAAGCCCTAGCAGTAACCATTGAATAGATATAGAAAAGGTTAAAGTTTTTCAAAAGTAAGTCAAAAGTCAAGGTCAAATGGTCAAAATAAATGGTGCCCAAGGAAAGGCCTTCTCACAAGAAATACACATGTGAAATATGAAAGCCTTAGCACCAACTGTTTAAAAGTTATGGCCAAGGTTAAAGTTTTCAAAAGTAGGTCAAACTCCAAGGTCAAGGACAGAGGGTCAACGTTGTTGGTACTCTAAGGAAGGTCTTGTCACAAGGATTACATATGTGAAGTATGAAAGTCTTAGCACCAATTATTCAAAAGTAATGGCCAATGTTAAAAAAAAGTTTTCCAAAAGTAAGTTAGACTCCAAGGTCAAGGTCAATGGGCTATAGTTGTTGGTATCCAAAGGAATGTCTTGTCACAAGAAATACACATGTGAAGTGTGAAAGCATTAGCACCGACTAATCAAAAGTTATGGCCTAGATTAAAGTTTTCCAAAAGTAGGTCAAACTCCTTGGTCAAGGTCAAAGGGTCAAAGTTGTTTGTATCCTAAGAAAGGTCTTGTCACAAGGATTATACATGTGAAGTATGAAAGCCCTAGCTCCAATTGTTCAAAAGTTATAACTAAGGTTAAAGTTTTTCAAAGGTAGGTCAAACTCCTAGGTCACACCCTAGGTCAAAGGGTCAAAGTTGTTGGTATATAAAGGAACGTATTGACACAAGGATTACACATATGAAAGCCCTTAAGCTTGCACCAATTGTTCAAAAGTTATGGCAAAGTTTAAAGTTGGTTTAAGTTTTGCAAAACTGGGTCAAACTCCAAGGTCAAAAGGTCAAATATGATGGTACCCGAAGAAAAGTCTTGTCACAAAGAATACAGATATGAAATATAAAAGTCATAGTTCCAACCAATCAAAAGATATGGGCAATGTTAAGTTTTTGCAGACAACAGATAAACAGACAGACAGACGGACGGACAGGGCAAAAACTATATACTCCCGAATCTTCGATTATAGGAGCATAAAAACAAGAAATAATACATGATTACAAATAATTTTTTTTTACAATACAAATGGAAAATATGGAATATAAATAAATGTTATACAATCCAATTGGAAAATTATAGAATACAAATGAAAAATTATACAATCCAAATAAAAATTGTAAATTTAAAGTGAAAAATTATACCATACAAATGAAAAATTATACAATGCAAATGTAAAATTATAGAATATGAATAAAAGTTATACAGATTAATAAAAATTGAAAATGATACAAAACAAATGGAAAAGATCGAAAATTGCAACGTTTGACATGCCATAGAAAATGATTAAATTTTTTCTTTATCTGTGTTTTTTCAGGATTGTTTACAGGTGTGTTGAGATCATAGTATTTGAAATGTCTATTGACATCAGATTTAGTTTTTGTCAGCATTAGGTTTAATCACAATGTTGCCAGAACCAGTAGAATATTTACGAATCTCCATTGTATCAGTGAGATAACAATTGTCTTAATACCCAATTCACTTAAAGCAATATGAGCTGCATTTTTGTGAATTTTCTTTTGTTGTTAAAATGTGCTGTTATGATAAATCTGTATGTAAATTTAAACCTTCATGATCAATTAGATTTATATAAAGTATCAAAGTTTTTTTTTTTTTTCAGAAGAAAGATTTCTACACAGGGGAATGTATAGTTTTATATAAGAAATCAATATTGTACAGGACGACAATAATGTAATTTTGCTTCAATCAAAGCATATAAATAGTTCTTCCATCGCAAATTTAAACATTAAAGTTTATAAACCTTACCTTCTTTTTATGTCATTTAAATAGTCAATTACAATATTGCAACAAAAAATTCCAACACCGAAGTTGCAGCTCATATTGCTGTAAAAGAAGTTTGCGTCTTACAAATTCTTTTCTTTTCTTTTTTAGATTTACTTAACAGAATAAACTTGCGTGTATTAATTTTATCTCTTTACATGATTGCCTTTATCAACATTTTCAACTTGGTATAAGACTGAGGCAAATGATGTTATATGTTAATTGTTTATATCGGTTAGAATCTAATAAACTCCTACATTTGTAACAAAGATGTTTATGAGTACTTATATGCAAGGTGGTGACAGAGTTGTGAAGTTTGCTTTACAGGTCCTTGCATACAAGACCCACCACCACCATCAACTCCCTTTAAAGGGGATAATCATAAAAATAAATATGCATTGTTTGCAAATAAATCATAGCCTGGATGAGTTAGAAACATGCAGATAACATTATCCAGTGTACATGCATATGCAAGATGGTGACAGAGTTGTGTGGTTTGCTTTACAGGTACTTGCATACAAGACTCACCCCCACCATCGATATTAAAATCCCGTTGGATTTTTTTCATAAATATTTATTTGATAGCCTTATCATGTATATGGTGAGAATAAAACCTCCAAAATATATAAATCCTTCCATGAAAAATCCCTATATCCTGCATTCAAAAAGAAGGGAAATATTTGGAGTATTTACGTACCTGTTTCATTGATATGCATTTGTTGTTAGCTATTAGAACATATTGTTAGTAACACTCTGAACATTTAGATCTACAAATTAACACCTTCTATTCAAATTCTGAAGTCTCGTGGTCTACGACTCGAAAGTATATCCAAAGTTTTGGAGAAAAGAAGGAAATTGCAGCAGAAGTAGAGCTTGTAGCATCGTTTAAAGGCGTGTACGAAGAATTATAAGAAGTGTATTGAAGACTATCAAGCATGGCTAAGCGGAAGTGCCCGTGGCACTCTCACACAGATAGATATCAATTGTAAGGTTCTTGAAAAGTTCATGACACTCATGGTTATGCACTCAAAGACATGGCTGTTACACCGGATGGTCATTTAATCTATTGTGACGTGGGAAACTTATTAAATAAGTATGGACATCAAAGTCATTGCTAAATAAAGCAAATGGATGTCGACTGCCGTGTGTGTGACGTCATCGGCGGGGCATTTCCTTGTGTGCAAGCATTCCAAAGATCAGAGATTTAGTCGTGTTGTTTCGTTACGTGGGATCGTTACTGGGATTAAATTTAATAAGTGGTAATCCAACTTATACCCATAGCTCCCTTTCTATGGAGGAGATTCTTCTAAATCATATGTCAGTTTTGAATATCTTTAATATTCCCAAGTAGCATAATGAATTTGAATTACCATATCTATAATGGATTCCAAAACATCATAAAAATCCTTAAAAACAAAGATACGTAGCGGGTTCCAATAAATGTTCTACCAAGCTTCTTTCTTTACTCCTCACTGAAATATTGACAGCAGTGAAGGAGAAACTTCAGGAGTACTGTGTAACAATATATTCGAGAAGTGGCGAAATTCAGATGTGGATACTTAACAATTCCATGGAACTTTTGGAAAATTTGAAATCACAGAATTTTACCAAAATCAATAAAATCAAAACTTACGATTTTCAACTCTATATACAACCATTACCCACGATAAATTAAAGTCCAAGCCTTTTGACATTATTGACAGCTGCTTTTTCAATAAAAATGGAACTCGTAAATTTACAAACCTTGTCATTGGTCATTTGCAAAATCATTTTGTGAAAGAACGTTTTGATTGTACACACAAGTGCTCTGAAGTTGATTGATTGAATGTTATTTTACGTCCCGTTCGAGAATTTTTCACTCATATAGAGACTTCAACATATACCGGTGAAGGGCTTTAAATTTAGACCTTTACTTGGCACTCAGTGCCATTGAGCAGTGAGGGTTCTACGCCTACCGTGACACGGGGCCTCGGTTTTTAAGGTCTCATCCGAGAGACCCGCAACTTTCACTTCAAAGTGCCGAGCTCTTGGCGAAGGAACATTTGCTACCTATTTTTTTTTTTTTTATTTATTTTTCTTAGGTCAGTCGCGGCCGAGATTCGAACTCACGGCCTTCCGTTCACGGCCTTGCAGTTGATATTAAAAGATTCTCGAGTTTCTGATTGACAATATCTATGCGATTTTTGAAGACCAGGTCTTCCAACAATCTGGTGGAATTCCCATGGGTATTAATTGCGCTCCCTTATAAGCAGATCGACCTATTTTTGTACTCATATGAAGCAGAATATATTCAAAATCTTATACATGAGAAGAAGAAAGCACTTGCTGTGGCATTCAACTCGACATTTAGATATATCGACGTCGTATTATCAATTAACAATGGTTATTTCCATTTATATATCGACACGATATATCCTAGGAAGCTTAAAATGAAAGATACCACAAAGTCTGACACATCTGTTTCATATTTGGATATTTTACTAGGAAAAGACGTTGATCGTTACCTAACAACAAAGCGATGAATTTAAGCATGGTGTACGTTTGGACAATTTTTAAAACAAGGTAAGTTATTGACAAATAAGTTGATGAAACAAGATATCAACAATCTAGTTTAAAGTCAACGTTTCGTAAGTTCTATAGTCAGTACAATGACCATGTCAGATCAGCAAATACAATCTATCATTAAGTCAAATGCTGACTGACGTTTTTCATGCTAACTGTTAGGCCATTATTTACACACTAAATTGTAAACGGATTTTCCCTTGTTTCCCGATCATGACAAGGAGCACACGGCGGGTGTGACCGGTCGGCAGGGGATTCTCACTCCTCCATGGAACCTGATCTCGCCTCTGATGTTTTAGAGGTCCATGTTCGCTCTGCTCCTGATTTGTATTGTTTAAATGGACTTTTGGGCTTGAATACTGTTCGTTATTTCCATATATTTCATCCACAGACAAACAAAAGTTACAGTTTGATGACAAAGAACAAGATCTTTTCAAAAAGTCCACATCAGTGGCCGAGAACGTCAACGAATACATATTTGTGATTGATTCAAACACACATTCTTTTGTACTCTGCAGAGCAGGGTTATTTCGATTTAAGTACAACGGAAGCCAAAAGACACAGTTGCACACGTCCTATCCTAGTGGTTTAGCCACAGACAACCTCGGTCATTTCATTGAATACCTGACTAGTCATTGTGGACATAGATGGTCAGTTCTTTAGATCTATTGCAGGATCCATTTTGAACATTCCTTTAGCTATAAGCATCGAAGACGAAGAGAATACGTGGATTGGGGAATTTCATACTGGAATATTCAAAACTTTTTTGGTGTAAAACATACATGTAGATTTAGTATGAACAGAAACTTTTGTGATTTGGAAGTGATAGAGATTTTCTAAAAAAAAATATTGTATTCTGCTCCCTGAAAAATGGCAAAAACATGTACATTGGAAAGAGATTGTAAAACTATTCATATACTGAGGAAAACTCGAAACACTAATTAACTTTTAAAAAAAGGTGAAAGTATGGGATATAAAAATAAAGCGTCTTTGTAGCGTTTCAATGTTGTAAACAAAGATGATATTTTTGTTTGGGCTTGAAATACTTAACAATTTCCTGTGTTTTCTGTCAATTCAATTATGTGCACTATAGCTGTTCATCGCTCATTTACTTCTTGAGTACACTTTATGGTAAGAGGTAGTCCTTGATTTGTGAAATTAAAGAAAAACAAAACATTTTTTCGTTTGTCTATCCGACATCATTGAAGATTAATTGCGTTAGATATAAGTTTATATGTCAGTTATTTCAAACATATTTTCTTTTTTGGTGTAAATCATATACATATGAGCAGAATACTGAAAATGACATAGAACGTACATGTATATCTTTATTTAACAATAGTATATTTAAATAATTTTTATTCATGACTTGAGCTTTTTAACACTGTTCTTAGACGCACATGAATTTAATATTGCTTTACTAAATTTAAGCACAGGATGAATAAAGATTAATTCTTTTAAAATATAGTCTTTTTTTAGAAGTTAACAAAGCTTTTACGGGACAAAAGGCTACAAATGGGCGTATCGTAATTTGCAACAAAAATCCGCAGTGAATATCTCCCCTCTGCTTGCTGAGCAACATGACGTAACGATCCCGGATTGCAAGTGCCAAGTATATCAGAAATATGACCTTATTGCAATAACTTTCATTCTTTTGACATAATAGCACATGCTGCATCTTTGCTATTTGTGTCCGATTCGTATTCCCTGATCTCCACCTTTGGCGCTGTACATGGGTTCATAGGAACACAATCTTCTGTAATTAGGAAGTGATAGAGATTTCCTCAAAAATATTATATTTGCTCACTGAAGGAAAATTGCCCAAACATGTATATCGAAAAGAGATTGTTAAAAGTTTCAAATACTCAGCAAAACTCAAATCACTAATTAACTCATCAAAGAAAAAAATCACGGTAAAAATATGGCATATGAAAATGAGGGATCTTTGGAGCGATATGAGGATGATATTGTTTGGGCTTCAAATACTTAACAATTTCCTGTCAATTCTATCATGTGCACTGTTCATGTGTTGATGAACATGTAAGAGGTTGATCTTGATTTGTGAAAAAAAGCTAGTTTTGCTTCGTTTGCCTATCAAGAATGCATAGTATTCGTGTAGAAACCCAACCAGTTTACTCAATGGAGACCAAGAGAAATAATGATGGCTATACTATTATCTGAATATTGACAATGGAGGGGTCAAAAGTATTGTCAAACAGTTAAAATCATACCATAGCTTTGTTCATTATATTTCAACATATATGGCAAATGTACAAAATGTTTGAAACGTAACGCTATTTTGAGAATTCTTCTCTCAGATTAAATGCGAATGTTCCTGCTGCACTGTGTATGTGAATAGGGAGTGAATTTTCAAAGCTGATGTTTACCTGGGATCATGCAGAAATTTTACAGAAATTGTCTTGTGGTTGTGAAGCATCAGTTAGAGATAAAATAAAAATAGTAACTCCTTACAAACTGTTAAACCCTATCCTTTGGGTTGAATCTCATCAACATGGCTCAAGCGATTATAATATGTGAATTATGTGAGGATGAACCTGTTTTAATGCATTGTAATTCCTGCCATATCAAACTTTGCACTGAATGTGTCGGCAAGCACGTATCCTCTCTAATCTCAAAGAAACATGACGTAGTAGGCTTCAGATACAGGGAAAGAGACGTCATACTGCCAGAATGTCATCTTCACCAACACCAAAAATGTGATATTTACTGCAGAAACTGTGATATTCCTATTTGTAGCCGATGTATCTTATCTCCAGAACACAAACAACATGAAATTTCCGATATCATGGACGAATATTTGTCAAGACGAGAGCTTCTTTCACAAGAAACAACTTTGCTTGAAAGGTTTGTAATTCCAGAGTTCAATAAGATGGAAAATTCGTTAAATTCCGAAATGGCAAAATTATCACAAGATTACGAAAGTGTCACTTCCTCATTGATAAGCAAAGTTGAAAAGATTTACCTTGAAATAAATGAGAATTTTGAAGAAAAGAAAACGTTACTGAGGAATTCAAAAGACAATGATCTCGGAGAGCTTCGATCACAGATGAAAGGCTTTTCGAAAAGGCACCGAGAAGTCCAACAAACCGCTTCCGGTTACAAGGCAGCTTTGTCTGGTAAAAACATTGCAGATGTTTTTTCTTGTACAGTTACTGAAAACCAATTTCGAGAAATCCCTTCCATGGTTGAAATATCCTCTCCTAAATATTCACGGAGTCGAGATCCTAACAGTATCGAGACTCTCCTTGGTAAATTTGACTTCGGAAATCGAATGTCGACTCTTCGTGGCTATACCATCTCCACTTTATCAAACAATGACGGCTTGGTCGAGAAAAGGTTTTTAAGCGAACCTAAAGTGTTGAGTTCATTTGACTCTGGATACGAGGAAATTCAGACAATTGCCTGTGCTGGTAATGATGAAATTTGGGTGGTTGGAAAGGTTCATGGAACTATGACGAAATTCAACATTAAAGGTGTGAAGTTGGAAACTTTACAGGTTACTGAAGGCTACTCGCCTAACGATGTCGATATAGATGGCAAAGGTAACATACTTTTTTGTGACAAGGGAGAAAATAGTGTTCAATGTTGAACAAGGGAAAGAGGGATGTAGTGACTGTTTGGAAAAACTGGAAACCCACCATTTTTTGTCAACAAGCTTGGGCATATTCTAGTTGGTATGGTTACGGCAGATAAAAAGAATGCACGGGTTGTCCGTCTTGTGAGAACGAGGCCGAAACAGAAGATACAGTTTGATGATCAGGGACAGCAGTTGTTCCTCCGACCCCAGGCCATAGTAGAGAACAGAAAGGAAGATATCTGTGTAGTCAATGGGGGTTCCAAAAGTTTGGTGGTTGTGAATAAGTCTGGGATTTTTAGGTTTATATATAACGGGAATCAGATCTCTCAAACGTTTTTCTTTAGGCCATCATCGGTAGTCACCGACAGTTTTGGTCAGATTCTTGTTACAGACACCCTGAACAGTTGCATTCATATTTTGGACGAAGATGGGGCCCTTCTCAATTGTATTGGACGGTTCATGATGAATATACCATCTGATCTTGACATTGATGAAAACGAAAATCTCTGGATCGGGGAATTTCATTCTGGAAATGTGAAGGTTTTCAGATACTTGGCAGCCTGTCGGACTGCTGAAAGTATTCCTCCGAAATAACGCATGTAAAAATACGCAAAGAACAATTGATTGATTGATTGTATGTAGTTTCACGTCACATTCGAGAATTTTTCACTCAAATAGAGATGTCACTATATACCGGTGAAGGGCTTCAAATTTAGACCTTTACTCGGCACTCAGGATCATTGAGCAGTGAGGGATCTTTATCGTGCCAACGCCTGCCTTGACACGGGGCCTCTGTTTTTAGGTCTCATCCGAAGGTCCCGCAACTTTCACTTCAAAGCGCTGAGTGCTTGGCGAAGGAACAGTTGCTACCTATTTTTTTTATTTTTCTTAGGTCAGTCGCGGCCGAGATTCGAACTCACGGCCTTCCGTGCACGGAGCGAGCGCTCTACCGACTGAGCTACCGTGACGGCTGCAGAGAACAAAGATTTATCATAAGAATACATTCGTTCTGATGCTCAGAACAGAAATGGTTCTAGGCTAAAATGTGACAGTTTGGAAAAGAAATTAATTTTTTTCCCTATTCTTTAAAGAAATACATATTGTAATTTTGGAAAAGCCTCATTTACTATAGGTCTGCTACAGAAGAGTTTTACCAACAAGTGGTTTATTTTATGTATATTGGTATTAAGAAAGCAATGCAAGGATGTTGATGAGTTGAAATCTAGATTTGCCACTCAATATATGCAATTCGGCCTTTTTAAACAAAAGCACTTTAATTTGCATTTGCTTTCATACAGTTTTACTGCATAGCTTCATTATTAACATCGGTGTTTTTTTTTCTTAGTTTTTAGTTGTCCTTTCTCATTCTACAACCTTTCACCTTCAAATAATTGAGAAAAATGATAAAAAATGATTAAACTCGTAAAGTTTTATATTTAATCTACTCGTGCTTCTAAGGTAGTTATTTTATAAGAACAATTTTCAGTATGTGTTATTTCTATTCAATCCATAAATACGTTTAGAATAGAAAAAAATATTTCTACGTATTTATATGTTTTATATTGGCATGTTAAACGTTGCTTTATTCGATAATCCTGTTATGTATATTCAATATCTTGATGTATATGCAAAATCTTCTGGTTCATGTTCAAAATCTTGTGATATATGTTCGATAATCTTGTGATGTATGTTCGATAATCTTGTGATGTATGTTGGACATCTTGTGATGTCGATTCGATATCTTTTGTTCAATATACTGTGATGTGTAATCTATATTTTTGTGAGGTAATTCTATAATCTTGATGATATATGTTCGAATCTTTTGATGTACATGTATGTTTGATATTTTGTATATTCGAATTCTTCTGATGAATGTTCAATATCTTGTGATGTGTGTTCAATATCTTGTGATGTATATTCTTTACATTTGTGATGGCTATTCCATACTTTTGTCAAATCTTGTATTTTCAAATTCTTGTGATGGATGTTCAATATCTTGTGATATACATTCTATAATCTTGTGATGTATATTCTATAATATTGTGATGCATATTCAATATCTTGTGAAGTATATTCTATAATATTTTTTCTAAGTTAAGGAGGGATAACTCTGTCAAAAATCATCGGACCATGACCAAATTCGATCTTGACCTGCGTATTCTGTTTAAATACCTGCATATGCAATTTCAACCTTATACATACATCCCTACAAAAGTTAGAGAGCTGAAACTGAAATTTTCTTATTTTTTATAAGTTCAAGAGGGATAACTCTGTCAAAAGTCATCGGACCATGTCCAAATTCAAACTTTACCTTCGTCTTCCTATGAAGTATCCATATGTCCAATTTGAGTTGAATGTGTGCAACTGTTGTTGAGTTAATGCACGGAAAGTCAATGATGACAGAATGACGGAATGACGGAACAGGTGACCTAACAAATGTGAGGTCAAGGTCAAAGGAAAGGTCATGAACATGGCTGCCTCTTCCAAAATTGTGAATTTCATGGCCCCAGGGTCAAAAAAGTTGATACAATTGAAAGGCTCTCATGAATATGAATCAACATATGAAGTTTGATAAAAAATATATTGAATAGTTACTTTGAAACTGAGCTAAAAGGTGATATAAATGTCAAAGGAAAGATGAAGATTTAGCGCAGTTCCAAAGTTGCAGGCGGTTAAACTTTGTTTCCTCAAGACTTTCCACATAGGATTTGTTCTCTGCCCTTTTGTTGCTTCTGCAGTATTCGGCAGAATCATTTCACGGCGTAATCAGACAAATGGGGCACCTGCTTGAATAAATCCCAGACTGGTCAAAAGATCCTGTATATTAGGACCAGGAGGATCTGGTGCCCATGTGGCTCTGGCTGAAGAATCCATTACCTAGCTGAAAATCTTAAAATCATTTTGTTGGTGAAGCAAATTACTTAAATCCCTAGAATGGTACATGACAATGTAGCAGGGGAGGTCAACTATACGAAGATGTTTTTATTGTAGAATTCCTATAAATAAGTACAAATCTTCTCTTTGTCGGTTTATGTTCTTTGTCGTTTAATTTTTCTTATATCTTTTGCATGTATACATGGTCATGCACATAATCAATAGAAATACTAAACATAGAAACTCTCGATATCAATCCTTTTAGTAGATGTGTTAACATTATATTTTTTAAAGTACCTAAAGATAACAGTAATTAATGTTAGTATAAGAAACAAGTACAAAACAAATGTAGAAGTGTATTATATATAACAAACAAAGGACCCATGTGCCACAAAGCTCACCTAATTTCCTTTAACCCTGCTGTTCTTCAGAAGATATTTTTAAAAGATTTTTGTGTTCCATTAAGAATTAATTTAAAATTTGATCCTGATTTAAACCAACTCTAAACCGGGGACTATAATTTAAAAATAAATACATCTACAGAAATGGGAAATTTAGGATTCTCTTGTGTTTCTTTAGATTATGTTTTAGTTCCATGCAAAACTGTGAACCCCCTATTATGGCTCAACCCTACCCCGGGGGCCATGAGTTGAACGGATACGAATCTACACTTCATCAGGAAGCTTTCTCGTATTTTCTGGTCCAGTGGTTCTTTATATAAGAAGAAGATTTTAAAAGATTTTTCTGATATGTAATAAAATGTACAACCTTTCTCCCGTATAATTGCCAAGCGTGCAAAAAAAAAAAAAAAAAAAAAAAAAAAAACCACTCACTTACTCTTCCCGGATGAGTGAAAATTGGCTTAGGACAAGTGGATGTCATCGACTTCGTGGGAAGTAGAAACCAAAACACTTACTCAAATTCAATGCTATATTGTATTTTTACAATACCAAAGATTGTTTAAATGTTAGAGTGTGCATATAAGATCACGCTAGTTACATATACGAATTAGTCAGTCTCTTCTGACCACGAGTTGTCATGAATAGAACATCTGGTTGAACAAGACTATAAGCGGAAATTAATTATAAGTAAAATGAAAATTAACTTCATTTCCAAAATGCACCAGGCAGCCTTTGCCTTAATTTACAAGGATTTTCCACTTATATAACTTTATATTAGTTTCTTGCATTGTTTATTGAACAATTTATTTTAAGTCCACATAAAAATGTAGGGCAGGTAGCTATAGGTAGGAGAAACTTTTTTTAAGTTTACTTTTTATTTTGAAAGCTTCAGTTAATTATTCAATACACTATTTTTTGTCATACATACGGACACATTTATAAATATACATACACAACAAAACAAATGTGCTCTTTAAATCATTCGAATAGTGTCTGAGACATGCATTTCATTGATTCAGCTTGGGAAAACTGTAATCATCCGGTAATAATTTCAACAAAATGAAACCATCTGCTTCTAGACTTAAAATTAGGCCCAGACTCTTGAGAAGTGATTATTACGAACACCAGACACAATATGAAAGATAAAGATTTCTGAAACGTGCTATGATCTTTTTGATTCGAATTACTTGGCTTTATATAGGATGAGCAAAACCATCATGGGGACGAGTACTTATGATTTCAAACTTGTCGCCTGAAACATGTGGTCAATGAATTTTTTTCTCATTCTGTGGCCTCATCCTGCCACTCTCCTCGGGGCCATGGTTTGAATTTACGTGTACACACAGGTCACGTGCTACCCACACAGCGTTGGCCTGATGACGCGACCTCTATATATAGACACTTTGAAACCCTTCTGGAGATTTACTTCTCTCATTACTTCCACTGCTCCTCTTACTTTCATCTTAAGAATCCCCCAAAGTCATTTCTAGCTTTGCCAATTTGGATTCTTTAAAAATGGATGTTTATGGTAGCTGCAACTTGGTGCTCCGGCTATTCAGCCCTATAGAAATAAAACATGCTAGAAAACCCAATTTTCTAACTTCTTTAAAGCTTTGCAAGGCGATTTCTTACAGAAAAAGTGACCATGCTATTCTAGACAGAAATCCATGTTGGTATATCCCTACCCTAAACGTCCCTGGTAGATCGGTCCCGTCAATTTCCTCGAGCTCATTTCTTTTGACTTCTCTTGATCGATTTTTCTGATACTGTAGGTGCCATTTAAAGAGCTATCGAAGCACCTCCTTTGCACTATATTATTTTAGTATATAATTTTTACTGTGTTATTCAATAAATCTGATTGGTTTGCTTGCTATCACGTTCAAAATTAAATTTTACGATATTGACATGAGTTACTAAAAATAACTCAGGGAAAATCCAAAGATGTGTTTATAATGGCGAAAAGTCTTTAAAACTTGCATACTTTGTTTGTCTCTTTTTTTCCAAAGAAAATAATATAACAAATATATAGCCCTTTGATTCGGTCAATCCATAGGTATATCGACTTCACAGAAAAGCATATCGACTTCACACTTCGTGCTCAGTCGATATACTTTTCTGGGAAGTCCATATATCTATGGATCGACCTCATAAAAGGGCTATTTTTGTATAGTATACTTCATATCTCTTCCTGTTGGGGAAGGGGGGATGGGGGTTCGCATCATTTCATTCCAGGATAATCACCAGTGGGGCCACTACCATCAAACACATCAATGAGGAACTTAGAAAAGCATTCTTTGTGTTGAATTCCTTTCTTACCGA